GCTCCAGAGCGCTCAGGACCTCAGACTGGGTCGAAGGTTCACCTTCCAACAGGACAACGACCTAAGCACACAGACAAGACAACGCAGGTTGTACAATGGCGCCGGAGGGGATGGCTGCCGTCTTAACCAACCATGCTATTTTGTTTGTTTTTTCGCATTGTTTGTATACACTGTATCGGCAGGATAGAACAGCAGCCTCTGGTAAGACAAGGGGTGGCGGTCTATGAATATTTGTAAACAACAGCTGGTGCACGATATCTAAGGAAGTCTCAAGGTTTTGCTCGCCTGAGGTAGAGTATCTCATGATAAGCTGTAGACCACACTATCTACCAAGAGAGTTTTCATCTATATTCTTCGTAGCTGTCTATTTACCACCACAAACCGATGCTGGCACTAAGAACGCACTCAATGAGCTGTATAAAGCCATAAGCAAACAGGAAAATGCTCATCTAGAGGCGGCGCTCCTAGTGGCCGGGGACTTTAATGCAGGGAAACTTAAATCCATTTTACCTCATTTCTACCAGCATGTTACATGTGCAACCAGAGGGAAAAAACTCTAGACCACATTTACTCCACACACAGAGACGCGTACTCTCCTTTGCCCTCCATTTGGCAAATCTGACCATAATTCTATCCTCCTGATTCCTGCTTACAAGCAAAAACTCAAGAAGGAAGCACCAGTGACTCGGTCAATAAAAAAGTGGTCAGATGAAGCAGAAGCTAAGCTACAGGACTGTTTTGCTAGCACAGACTGGAATATGTTCGGGGATTCTTCCGATGGCATTGAGGAGTACACCACATCAGTCACTGGCTTCATCAATAAGTGCATCGATGACGTCGTCCCCACAGTGACTGTACGTACATACCCCAACCAGAAGCCATGGATTACAGGGCACTGAGATAAAGGGTAGAGCTGCCGCTTTCAAGGAGCGGGAGTCTAACCCAGAAGCAATCCCGCTATGCCCTCCGATGAACCATCAAACAGGCAAAGCGTCAATACAGGACTAAGATCGAATCGTACTACACCGGCTCCAACGCTCGTCGGATGTGGCAGGGCTTGCAAACTATTACAGACTACAAAGGGAAGAACAGCCGCGAGATGCCCAGTGACACAAGCCTACCAGACGAGCTAAATTACTTCTATGCTCACTTCGAGGCAAGTAACACTGAAACATGCATGAGAGCATCAGATGTTCCGGACGACTGTGTGATCACGCTCTCCGTAGCCGATGTGAGTAAGACCTTTAAACAGGTCAACATTCACAAGGCCGCAGGGCCAGATGGATTACCAGGACGTGTACTCCGAGCATGCGCTGGCCAACTGGCAAGTGTCTTCACTGACATTTTCAACCTCTCCCTGTCTGAGTCTGTAATACCAACATGTTTCAAGCAGACCACCAAAGAACACTAAGGTAACCTGCCTAAATGACTACCGACCCGTAGCACTCACGTCTGTAGCCATGAAGTGCTTTGAAAGGCTGGTCATGGCTCACATCAACTCCAATTTGCATACCGCCCCAACAGATCCACAGATTATGCAATATCTATTGCGCTCCACACTGCCCTTACACAAAATGAACACCTATGTGAGAATGCTATTCATTAACGACAGCTCAGCGTTCAACACCATAGTGCCCTCAAAGCTCATCACTAAGCTAAGGACCCCTGGACTAAACACCTCCCTCTGCAACTGGATCCTGGACTTCCTGACGGGCTGCCCCCAGGTGGTAAGGGTAGGTGACAACACATCCGCCACGCTGATCATCAACACGGGGGCCCCTCAGGGGTGCGTGCTAAGTCCCCTCCTGTACTCCCTGTTCACTTATGACTGCATGGCCAGGCATGACTCCAACACCATCATTAAGTTTGCCGATGACACAACAGTGGTAGGCCTGATCACAGACAACGACGAGACAGCCTATAGGGAGGAGGTCCGAGACCTGGCCGTGTGGTGCCAGGACAACAACCTCTCCCTCAACGTGATCAAGACAAAGGAGATGATTATGGACTACAGGAAAAAGAAGAGGACCGAGCATGCCCCAATTCTCATCGACGGGACTGTAGTGGAGCAGGTTGAGAGCTTCAAGTTCCTTGGTGTCCACATCACCAACAAACTAACATGGTCCAAGCACACCAAGACAGTCGTGAAGAGGGCACGACAAAACCTAAGGAGACTGAAAAGATTTGGCATGTGTCCTCAGATCCTCAAAAGGTTCTACAGCTGTACCATCGAGAGCATCCTGACTGGTTGCATCACTGCCTGGTATGGCAACTGCTCGGCCTCAGACCGCAAGTCATTACAGAGGGTAGTGCGTACGGCCCAGTACATCACTGGGGCCAAGCTTCCTGCCATCCAGGACCTCTATACCAGGCGGTGTCAGAGGAAGGCCCCTAAAAATTGTCAAAGACTCCAGCCACCCTAGTCATAGACTGTTCTCTCTGCTAACGCACGGCAAGCGGTACCGGAGCGCCAAGTCTAGGTCCAAGAGGCTTCTAAACAGCTTTATTATCTATGCATAGTGACTTTAACAACTCTACCTAAGGGCCTTGCAAAATATATTCATCCCCCTTGGCGTTTTTCCTATTTTGTTGCATTACAACCTGTCATTTAAATGGATTTTTATATGGATTTCATGTAATGGACATACACAAAATAGTCCAAATTGGTGAAGTGAAATGAAAAAATAAAAAAATAAAAATAACAGAAAAGTGGTGCGTGCATATGTATTCACCCCCTTTGCTATGAAGCCCCTAAATAAGATCTGGTGCAACCAATTACCTTCAGAAGTCACATAATTAGTTAGATTGCACATATCTGGACTTTATTTAAGTGTCACATGATCTGTCACATGATCTCAGTATATATACACCTGTTCTGAAAGGCCCCAGAGTCTGCAACACCACTAAGCAAGGGGAACCACCAAGCAAGCGGCACCATGAAGACCAAGGAGCTCTCCAAACAGGTAAGGGACAATGTTCTGGAGAAGTACAGATCAGGGTTGGGTTATAAAAATATATCAGAAACTTTGAACATCCCACGGAGCACCATTAAATCCATTATTAAAAAATGGAAAGAATATGGCACCACAACAAACCTGCCAAGAGAGGGCCGCCCACCAAAACTCACGGACCAGGCAAGGAGGGCATTGATCAGAGAGGCAACAAAGACACCAAAGATAACCCTGAAGGAGCTGCAAAGCTCCACAGCGGAGATTGGAGCATCTGTCCATAGGACCACTTTAAGCCGTACACTCCACAGAGCTGGGCTTTACGGAAGAGTGGCCAGAAAAAAGCCATTGCTTAAAGAAAAAAATAAGCTAACACGTTTGGTGTTCGCCAAAAGGCATGTGGGAGACTCCCCAAACATATGGAAGAAGGTACTCTGGTCAGATGAGACCAAAATTGAGCTTTTTGGCCATCAAGGAAAATGCTATGTCTGGCGCAAACCCAACACCTCTCATCACCCCGAGAACACCATCCCCACAGTGAAGCATGGTGGTGGCAGCATCATGCTGTGGGGATGTTTTTCATCGGCAGGGACTGGGAAACTGGTCAGAATTGAAGGAACGATGGAAGGCGCTAAATAGCGGGAAATTCTTGAGGGAAAACTGTTTCAGTCTTCCAGAGATTTGAGACTGGGACGGAGGTTCACCTTCCAGCAGAACAATGACCCTAAGCATACTGCTAAAGGAATACTTGAGTGGTTTAAGGGGAAACATTTAAATGTCTTGGAATGGCCTAGTCAAAGCCCAGACCTCAATTCAATAATTCAATTGAGAATCTGTGGTATGACTTAAAGATTGCTGTACACCAGCGGAACCCCTCCAACTTGAAGGAGCTGGAGCAGTTTTGCCTTGAAGAATGGGCAAAAATCCCAGTGGCTAGATGTGCCAAGCTTATAGAGACATACCCCAAGAGACTTGCATCTGTAATTGCTGCAAAAGGTGGCTCTACAAAGTATTAACTTTGGGGGGGGGGGGGGGGCAATAGTTATGCATGCTCAAGTTTTCTGTTTTTTTTGTCTTATTTCTTTTGTTTCACCCCAAAAAATATTTTGCATCTTCAAAGTGGTAGGCATGTTGTGTAAATCAAATGATACAACCCCCCCCAAAATCAATTTTATTTCCAGGTTGTAAGCCAACAAAATAGGAAAAATGCCAAGGGGGGTGAATACTTTCGCAAGCCACTGTACATGTACATATTGCCTCAATTACCTCAACTAACCGGTGCCCCCGCACATTGACTCTGTACCGGTACCCCCTGTATATAGCCTCGCTATTGTTATTTTACTGCTGCTCTTTAATTATTATTATTTTTTTATTTTATTTATTTTTTAGGTATTCCTTCTTAAAACTGCATTGTTGGTTAAGGGCTTGTAAGTAAGCATTTCACTGTAAGGTCTACACCTGTTGTATTCGGCGCATGTGACAAATACAATTTGATTTGATTTGAGGAGTGGCTTCGGGACAAGTCTCTAAATGTCTTTGAGTGGCCCAGCCAGAGCCCGGACTTGAACCCGATCGAACATCTCTGGAGAGACCTGAAAATAGCTGTGCAGCAACGCTCCCCATCCAACCTGACAGAGCTTGAGAGGATCTGCAGAGAAGAATGGGAGAAACTCCCCAAATACATGTGTGCCAAGCTTGTAGCGTCATACCCAAGAAGACAAGCCTGTAATCGCTGCCAAAGGTGCTTCAACAAAGTACTGAGTAAAAAGTCTGAATACTTATGTAAATGTAATGTTTCATTGTTTTCATTATGGGGTATTGTGTGTAGATTGATGAGGGAAAAATCAATTTAATCAATTTTAGAATAAGGCTGTAATGTAACAACATGTGGAAAATGTCAAGGGGTCACCATTATTAAGGACTTACCTAAAGTGTGCTAAAATGCACTTTGACCCAAGCCTGTCTCCAAAAATGTTAAAAGGCCATTTGTGACTGGGATGTTTGCATACCCTTAACCATTAACACAATATGATGTTCCTCCCAATGAGATATGCAAGTTGCAACAGCAAATAGAGCAGCCCTAGTCATATGAATAACCTCGTGAGTTTTTAACTTGTGCTTAAAATCTGTTACAGTTAATCCACCGTAAATGCCATACTTCTCATTAGAGGGGAAACTTGTTTGGGTCGACTTTGAAATCAGCGCGCATGAGTACCAGCAGATTACAGCACATTAAGGATCATCTTTTGGGTGAATACAAGGTAGGCTAATATATTGTATTACAATATTATAAACCTAAATTCTAGACGTGTCACAGTCGTTTGTCTGCAGGATTATTATGACATTTATGAAAATAATCAAGCGAAAGTAAAAGATGGTCAATATAACAAATGCTGGGTTAGTTCAGCTCATAGACATTAAGGGTTCAGCTAGGCCTACCTTCTATTTTAACCCAAATAATAAATAATTCATAGGCTACAGTTAGCCTACAGCTTTCTGTATATATTGTGCAAAGTTACAGTAGCCATATGTCCATAATGTTTACTCACTATGCTGTCGGTGTATACGCTGTAGTGTGCAAAGATGGCAGCTCCATACAGCCCCCTGACCACTCACGTCCTGAACACCGGGATTGGCGTCCCTGGAGCCCACATGGCCCTCAGCCTGCATCGCCTGGATCCCTCCACTTCACTCTGGAACCTTCTCACCACAGGGTAACCTCATCACAGAGAGTGCTGCAGCACCAGTTAACATAGACATAGAATGGAAATTAACACAATCATTTCTTAGCAGCTCCATAATAATCCATATAATAGACAAATACACATTTAGTATTTACTTTATCAATTTCAGATTCACCTGTACAGCCTCTTTCAGTAGGGCTGCATAATATTATTATCAAATATGAATATATACCGGTAGTAATGTTAATGAGACAAGGCTTATTTCAGGATCACATCAAACCAATGTCCAATGTATTCAGTATTTTATATAATTTATTCTCAGGACTACTAATGATGATGGGCGCTGCCCAGGACTCATCAACAGAGAAGCTTTTACTCCAGCAGTGTACAAGATGCGCTTTGAGACGGGCCAATACTGGGAGAGTCTGGGAGAGACCTCTTTCTACCCATATGTCGAGGTTAGTTCAAGACAGTCTTCAATGCTTTTATCATAAATAATAGGTGCATTTAAATGTTTGACTGTTGGAATATAAAGTTAGACATAAATGTTTCTTTATATCCACAGAATCAGCTTCTGTTTATTTCCTAGTCAGCTATGCGATCGCTAACTGAACACTAAATGATTCGGTAACTCCTATTGGTTGGCTGAGTAGTTACTAACACATTGGTGGTCTGTGTTTATCTGCAGATAGTCTTCACCATAACGGACCACAGTCAGAAGTACCATGTTCCTCTGCTCTGCAGCCGCTTCTCCTACAGTACCTACCGGGGGAGCTAGAGAGTCTGTCACTCATCCCCTCTCACCATCTCTCACCTGGGCCACGTTCAGTTGCCAAACGTTGTCTAATCTCGGTTAACCCAGAACTAAAGTCTTGCGTAATTGTCAGATGTTTGATTAAGTTCCGGGTCCATATGTGTTAAGGGAAGAGATCGGAACCGGAACGAAGAGCTCCACCCTTCTCTCTTTGCAAGTTACGGGCAAGTCTATGGTTCAAATGACCCGCACCTGTCAGCTGGGCCTATTCAGGTGGTTGAAAGTCAGCCTTCAGTTATTGTAGGTAGAAATGTACCTTTGAAAGAAGACTCTCTTCTGTAATACTAGTTGTACTATTATAGTTATTGAGTATAGAACACAAGAATAGTATCATTTCTATGTGGTACATTTCTACAGGTAACAGTTGTTATGTGCTCCTGTCATCCATGGCTCTTCTGAGAGTAGACATACAGTTGAAGTTGGAAGTTTACATACACTTAGGTTGGAGTCATTAAAACTTGTTTTTCAACCACTCCACACATTTCTTGTTAACAAACTATAGTTTTAGGAAGTCGGTTAGGACATCTACTTTGTGCATGACACAAGTAATTCTTCCAACAATTGTTTACAGACAGATTATTTCACTTATAATTCACTGTATCACAATTCCAGTTGGTCAGAAGTTTACATACACTAAGTTGACTGTGCCTTTAAACAGCTTGGAAAATTCCAGAAAATGATGTCATGGCTTTAGAAGCTTCTGATAGGCTAATTGACATCATTTGAGTCAATTGGAGATGTACCTGTGGATGTATTTCAAGGCCTACCTTCAAACTCAGTGGCTCTTTGCTTGACATCATGGGAAAATCAAAATAAATAAGCCAAGACCTCCGAAAAAAAAAATTGACCTCCACAAGTCTGGTTCATCCTTGGGAGCAATTTCCAAACGCCTGAAGGTACCACGTTCATCTGTACAAACAATAGTACGCAAGTATAAACAACATGGGACCACGCAGCCGTCATACTGCTCAGGAAGGAGACGCGTTCTGTCTCCTAGAGATGAACATACTTTGGTGCGAAAAGTGCAAATCAATCCCAGAACAACAGCAAAGGACCTTGTGAAGATGCTGGAGGAAACAGGTACAAAAATATCTATATCCACAGTAAAACGAGTCCTATATCGACATAACCTGAAAGGCCGCTCAGCAAGGAAGAAGCCACTGCTCCAAAACCGCCATAAAAATCCAGGCTACGGTTTGCAACTGCACATGGGGACAAAGATCGTACTTTTTGGAGAAATGTCCTCTGGTCTGATGAAACAAAAATTGAACTGTTTGGCCATAATGACCATTGTTATGTTTGGAGGAAAAAGGGGTAGGCTTGCAACCTAAAGAACACCATCCCAACCGTGAAGCAGGTGGTGGCAGCATCATGCTGTGGGGGTGCTTTGCTGCAGGAGGGACTGGTGCACTTCACAAAATAGATGGCATCATGAGGAAGGAAAATTATGTGGATATATTGAAGCAACATCTCAAGACATCAGTCAGGAAGTTAAAGCTTGGTCGCAAATGGGTCTTCCAAATGGACAATGACCCCAAACGTTTGACCCAAGTTAAACAATTTAAAGGCAATGCTACCAAATACTAATTGAGAGTATGTAAACTTCTGACCAACTGGGAATGTGATGAAAGAAATAAAAGATGAAATAAATAATTCTCGCTACTATTATTCTGTCATTTCACATTCTTAAAATAAAGTGGTGATCCTAACTGACCTAAAACTGGGAATTTTTACTAGGATTAAATGTCAGGAATTGTGAAAAACTGAGTTTAAATGTATTTGGCTAAGGTGTATGTAAACTTCCGACTTCAACTGTACTTCTCTGAGAGATCCCAGTCATTTGTTTCACCAGACTTTTTGGACCAATCGATGACAGCAAACACTACTTTTTTATGTTTGATTTGATATTAACAAAATGTCTAAGCTATATTGGACAGTGGGGTTGGGTTGAGTGCCATTTCCTTCAGAATATTGATTACCCATTTTTGTGTCCTGAAATGAATTTAGGAAAATCTAGATAGCAAAATAAATAATTACAATTTTATGTTTATGTATGATTACATAAATTATTATATTTTATGTTGTAAGTGTGACTGGTTGATGGGCAGGCCTAAGCTGTCCAGCCCTCATCATTTCTACGAGATCATCCTTTCGTGGCTCGATTGCTTTATTCTGGATGCATATTGGATTATTCTGAGATCGATTACATTATACTGAAGCAAGGCCCGGGCCCCTAACGAAACAGTTCCACAAGACTCGTGAAGTGACAGATTTTCTTATTTTACGACTGATAAAGGCCTATTTTCTATAAATTCGAACACAATGGCAGACGACGAATTGGAGGCTATCAGGCGGCAACGCATGGCCGAACTGCAGTCAAAACATGGGGTAAGGGGAGAACATGAGGGGACCAAAAATGCATAGTTCCGACCATATATGGAGATCCACTATTCATTCTGTTGCTAGCTAGCTAGTAGTGTTAGCCTTATAGCTCAAGTTTAGAGTATTTTAACCTATCACCATCTTTAACGAATTCTCTATATTACTGTTCATTGCATGTTTGCATAGCATCCAGATAATTATGTACCTAGTTTACGAGCTAGTTAGTTATAAGATACTGTAGCTAGATAGCTAGCTAACGTTAGCAAGCAAACTCATGCCATAGTGAGAAACGAGTTATAGGCCTACCAGTAGCTAGTAAGCTATATAATTTAATAGAATCAACATTTATGAATAGCAGACACTTCAACGAATAGGCGAAACAAAAATACATTTAAGTAATTAACAGGACAATGACCGCTTGCGTCTTCCACTCCTCTGGGGCTGGGGTTGAGATATGCGCGTACCCACCCTACTGCTCCCCTGGTACGCGTGCATGTGCCCAGGTGTTTAGGTGCACGTCCGAGAGTAGTATGAATGTTGTCTTTTCAGACCGAGCCTGTAACAATAGACTGAACATCATTGTTAGTAGCCCACCCTCTGGATTATCTAGCAAGCCTGTTTGACACTGATTTCTAAAGCTCATTAAGCAAAACACTTGACTGAATAGATATACCTAGATTAGCCCAATATTGGTCTAAATAAACCTAAAATTACTCATTTTAGTCCAAGGACCTTACATGTTCTGTTTAGAGGCGAGTTGGCTCTGGCAGCCAAAACAGCCATCAAAACATGAATCGATTCTCAAATGCGGTACGGTTCAAGAAACTTAAAGCCCTCAAATTTCGTATCACATTACATACAGTTTACTGTACACTGTTTTAACCGGTTTTAAAACAGTTGCAGCCGAGAGTATTTTTTAGTGACAACACGTTCTATCACCTGAAATAATTCACACAAGATAAAAAAAAATACATGCATGTGTGTGTACTTGCCGAGCTCGTGCATGTGTTTACATGGTTCTGCCCATGCTTCGTGATAGAAATCTGAATACATTACCAGCGCTTAGAAACATTTATGTAATTATTCTTTCCTGTGGATATATTGTTTAACATTCCTACTGCCAAAAGGACCAACTGCACGGACAACCGGTAAAGTACAATATAATATTATTTTATTCAACATTCTGGCTTGTAGAGGTCATGAGAGGAATCTTTCTTGACTCAAACGCTCATTTCTGCCGGATGTAGAATTCAATGCAATTCAAAGTCCGGTTTCCAGGCAACTGCACAACAGAGGTCAATGTATATTTGCTGATGGAGTTAAGTCAAATTTTCTTAACATAACCAAAGGAGTGCCACAAGGCTCAATACTAGGCCCTTTACTGTTCACTATTTACATGAATAATGTTGGTTTGTCCCTGAATAAAAATATCTGGGGCTTACATCTCTATGTGGATGACAGTTATTTATTCCCGTGCCCTCTCAGTGCAGCAGGCCATTCACAATCTTCAGCTTGGCTTTGATTCAATTCAAGAATCGCTCACTGACCTTAAATTAATGCTAAATGTTGATAAAACCAAGTTTGTTTTTCTCCAGGTCTCGTAAAATTGATGCTAAAGACCTTGAGAGGAGCCCAAATTTAGCTAGTTCCCCATTATAAGTAGCTAGGCATTTGGATTGACGATAAGTTGGCCTTTAAAACACACATTGATAAACTGACTAAAAAGTTGCAAGTAAAGCTTGGTTTCCTGTATACAGTGGCGATTTTAGCATGTACATTTTGGTGGGGCAAACTCATTATAATGTATGTATGCCAGCAAAGCCACTACTCAACACTAAACAATACATTAATTGCACTATAACGGTGACAAACGGTGCCCACAAACTGTTAGGGCCTACATACAGCTGTCCCAACAGCAGAGCTTTCTTTTCAGCACCATAGAGTGAATCCTTACCACAGCTACACCTGGCTATCAGCGGAGCCTTGTCTGGCAGCGAAAACAGTTAATTCAGCCTAATTTCCTGCCTTTAAAAAAAAAACATAGCTGATATGGCTGACTTGCTTAAACAAATGTGATTTCTACTGACAAATTAGATGTACAAACTATGGCATAAGGGAACGATGAGCAGATCATTTCGATTAAGACATTAATGAGCGAGCTAAGACAGATGTAGTCAATATAATTATTTGTTCAGCACTTTTGAAATGTACAGTGACAGAATTCAGAACATGGGCCATTCTTACAGTATTCTCCCTGTACACCAAGTCAGAACCTTAGGATAAATAAAGGGGGCATATAAGCAGACAATGAAAGCTCTTACAATATTCGATGATGACATTTCTCTAAAACAGACTATAGGCTACATGTGCACCACCAAGTCAGAACAGTAGGCTAAGTTATGAAGGGGAAAGGGACCAAATTATTAGGGTGAGGCACATGGGCTACTAACAGCTTACTACACAACATACACTTATTATTACTTTCTTAGCTACAGTATATATATCTCCCTGGCATATTATATCATTTATGCAGCAGCATACAATACATTTTTGGATTCACCATTGTGCTTTGCTCACTTGAACAGGATGGTGGCACGGCGGTCCTTGTGGGCAAATGTTTTCATGAAACTTTGTCATCAAAGTCTGGCATTCTCAGGATTTATGGTGCATTCATGACAACCGGGAACTCTGAAAAAAACAAGGTCGAATCATGACGTCAGTGATCTTCAGGTCGGAGCTTTAGAAAGAGGCCCGAGTTCCCGACTTGGAATTCCGGTTTCGGGGCTGTCGCTGGGCAATACGGACTTTCAGCTCCCTCCAAAGATTTTCTATTGGGTTCAGGTCTGGAGACTGGCTAGGCCACTCCAGGACCTTGAGATGCTTCTTACAGAGCCACTCCTTAGTTGCCTTGGCTGTGTGTTTTGGGTCGTTGTCATGCTGGAAGACCCAGCCACGACCCATCTTCAATGCTCTTTCTGAGGGAAGGAGGTTGTTGACCAAGATCTCGCGATACATGGCCCCATCCATCCTCTCCTCAATACGGTGCAGTCGTCCTGTCCCCTTTGCAGAAAAGCATCCCCAAATAATGATGTTTCCACCTCCATGCTTCACGGTTGGGATGGTGTTCTTGGGGTTGTACTCATCCTTCTTCTTCCTCCAAACACGGCGAGTGGAGTTTAGACCTAAAAGCTCTATTTTTGTCTCATCAGACCACATGACCTTCTCCCATTCCTCCTCTGGATCATCCAGATGATAATTGGCAAACTTCAGACGGGTTTGGTAATGTTTATGTCCAATGGCCGATGAGCACCAATGCGTTTTATCTATAACTTCTCTTCATATGACAAGGCTTGAAAAGGATTTGCCAGTAGACGTGTCGACATAATTCATGATGATGACTGCTTGTCTAGCTTGCTAGCTAAGATTTTGAAAGTATAATGTTGACATGATCAGTCCAATCAAAGCTATGGTAGATATAACGTGATTTGACGTCATTTTATCTGTGGCCAATGACCTTGAGCCTTCTTGGATGGGCACTTCTAATGTAAATCTATGGCAGCACCCAAGGGGGCTTGAACTTTCTAGCTTTCCCTGTAGATTTTGCGGTGACGTAGTGTCCCCATGAGTGACAGAACACTGAGCCAATCACGGCGCAACTAGAGAAGATTACCAACCCCTATGCTCAGTATTTTCAGCTGGCTGCCTCTTCACCACAGAAAGCACTGAGCTTGGCTGAAACACCTGCATTTTGGGGCTGCCTTACTCAAGAAAGCAAAAAGAGACCATGTTTGTATGTGGCTTTATTAACTCAATACATGTTTTTTTTTTTTTTTTACATTGTTTGCAAACTGATATGTGACACATATTAATGCCAAAAATAACATGCAAAACAGCCACATTTTTAAATAAATAAATATATATATACAGTATCTCACAAAAGTGAGTACACCCCTATTTGAGTATATCTTTTCATGTGACAACACTGAAGAAATGACACTTTGCTACAATGTACAGCTTGTATAACAGTGTAAATTTGCTGTCCCCTCAAAATAACTCAACACACAGCCATTAATGTCTAAACCGCTGGCAACAAAAGTGAGTACACCCCTAAGTGAAAATATTAACACAAATGTGAGGGGTGTACTCACTTTTGTGAGATACTGTATATATATATATATATGACGGGTCGCCACTGACTGTATAGAAATAAATCCTGTCTCACTTTTTAAAATAGGAGGAAGATTGTTGAAGCAATACTTCTCTGTAATTGACTATGGCGACTCAATCTTATGTAATTTCTGTACGCATCATTTTCTGTTATATAGTTCTGTTGGATGGGAGTCTCTGACTAACAGAAGGGCCCAACATTGGCTATTATTAATATATAAAGCACTTCTCCAGAAACTCCCATACTACCCCATCTCACCTCTAAATAGGAAATCTAGTAAGTATAATAATCTCTCTCAAGACTGGTTCATACTAGAGATTCCATGGGTCTCCTCTGAGTTAGGGAAGACTGCTTTCAGTTACTATGCCCCTCAGTCCTGGAATGACCTACAGGTTACTCTTAACTTGATTCTTTGGTCCCAAAAGGTGAATTTATGGCTATAATAAAAAATGTGACCAATGAAGACTGCACTTGTTTTGCTTGATTGTTTCTACTGCCCTTTTGAATGTAACATAATTTGTTTGAAATGTTGTAACTGTAACTTTGTAGTGATCATGCTGGAATTGTTGCTCACGTTGCTTGAACTGTTGTTCTCAGGGCACCATTGCAAATGAGACCCTGGTCTCAATGGGTTCCCCTGGTTAAATAAAGGTTCATTTAAAAAAAACTATAAGGTGTGTAGTAATTTAACCTTTTTATTATTTCTCGCATATATAAAAGACACGTTACTTATGTTTCCAAAACCGTACCGCAAGCAATGCGTTTTAACGTCCACAACGAGCGTCGAGGCTCTTAACAAAACTCCCCCGGCCAGAAGATACTATCGTTAATAGGTGCTAAAGGTAGTTAGCGTCTATGAATGGGTTATACCTAAATATGAGTGACATGATGACAGAGATTATCAATCAAAAGATTGGGGATGGACATAGGCACACTAGGAATCCTTTCCTCCAACAGAGATGTTTGATTGAGTTTGAGTTGCTAATTTTTCAGAGTCTGTCTTGGAACCAAATGAATCCGGGGGTAAGCTGCTGTACAGCTACTGTACTGCACATTGTGTGATGACAGGGACATGGCAAAAGGCTGTATAATTAATGACCTGGACTGAGCAATGCAGCATGTCTGGCAGTTCTGCCTGTGCTCTTTGAGTATGTATGTTTGCAATAAAGGAATAGCAAAATGTTTGAATGACAGAACCATTAAGTATTGTGAATGGTTTGTGACATGGTTATCAAGCTTGAGTGAAGCTTGTATGTTAAACTATTTAAAATGTTTTTGTACTATTTTGAAAGTTTTGTATAAAAAGATTTTCCAGATACCTGTAAATATTAACTTTGTATTCTACTATATTACAGTTCATTTTATCCCAGTCCCACTCCCTATCCCTGTTCCTCTTGGGGTAGGCTGGATTTGAAGGAACTGGGCAGGTGTAATCAATACGGGGATGGCTCCAACCAGTCTACCAATAGGCTCCTTCAGATCTGCAAACTCCAAAGGAGTAGGGATAGGGGAGGGGGCAAAGGGTTGTTTTCTGAGCTACGTTTTGGTACAGTTTAAACAGTGTTGTTCAAGTCTCTAGTCCCTTTGTTTTATAACGCTTCGCCATGGGTGTCAAAAATTAACATCAATATTAGGATAGGCTACACTTCAAGAGAGCCGATTTGCGCTCTCAGCATGGCTGTGTGATACAGTAGCCTGTTGGCTAACGCAAATAAAATACACATTCTCTCAAATAGCCTGTATCCAGTGGCTGGTCTGTTCTCTTGTTATTGTTTTTAAAATATATATATTTTATTTTATACAATTTAAGATAAAGGCAGAGTAATGTGTGGACTTTCTGACGGTCTCTTTCTCCCCTCCCTTCCCAGGACTCTTCAAATGACCAGCAAGGGCAGCAGGAGGCCAAACAGAGGTTAGTCTTCATTATTTATCCATCTAAACTTTTATTCCTGTCATGCATTCACAACTCCGCACTGAGTATAGCTACATTTCAGAGACACAGATGTCTCCACTGTTGTTGGTTTAGTTCACAGTTTGCTAATGTTGCTGTCTTGACCTGCAGTTTGCAGCTCTGGTTTGTGAAGAACTATGCGATAGACTATTTATAAAGCTAGTCAATGTGATAAACAATGTCTTCGTTTACACAGGCAGCCCAATTCGGATATTTTTTTCCCACTAATTGGTCTTTTGATCAATCACATCAGATCTTTTCACGTCAGATATTTTTCAGAGCTGATTGGTCAAAAGACCAATTAGTTTAAAAAAATATCAGAATTGGGCTGCCTTTGTAAACGTAGTCATTGTGGCCTAACTATAATCTTCTGTTCTGTCTTTTCACAGGGAAACAGAGATGAGGAACTCCATACTGGCTCAGGTTCTAGACCAGTCCGCCCGTGCCAGATGTAGGTCGTTCATATCCCCCTGGTTTGAATAAATCATTGATCTGATATTGGAACTTTCAGTACCTACATCTGGTTAACAATAGGTGGCGCCGTTGCCTAAAAGTCTGCTATGTTTTGTTGTGTTGCAGTGAGTAACTTGGCTCTGGTGAAGCCAGAGAAGGCCAAAGCAGTGGATAATTACCTCATACAGATGGCCCGCATGGGCCAGCTGGGGGGAAAGGTGAGGGAAGTGGACCTAAGGCATATGCGGACATATATCGTTGAACCTACGTTTAAACAAAATTGGGATCCCTAACCTATTTTTTATATTTTTTATTTACTAAATTAAAATCAGGGGGTTTTCAGGATCTAAAGGGGGCTTAGGTGGTGGGTGTGGTCGGTCCGGCTGAATTTTAGAGAACATTTTAGAGGCCCCGATCTTTCCTGCAGTTCTGTGAATTTTGCCATGGCTAATCCTGTGTTCTAACTATACTGCTAAATTCAGTATTTTGGGAATGTTCTATTCTCCCTGACTGTCTAGCTTTTATTTTGGTGATTTGTTAGTTCTCAAAGATTATATTATATAAAAATGTATAGGTACATTAGCTTTTCTGCATACTTTATATCTGGTTTTAGTCTTTTAAGTTTACACTGAAAGTGTTTTTTCCATCCCGAAAATGTATAAAAAATACATATATATATATATATATATATATATATACTGAGTGTACAAAACATTAGGAACACCTTCCTAATATTGAGTTGCACCCCCGTTGCCCTCAGAACAACCTCAATTCATCGGGGCATGGACTCTACAAGGTGTCGAAAGCGTTCCACAGGGATGTTGGCCCATGTTGACTCCAGTGCTTCCCACGGTTGTGTCAAGTTGGCTGGATGTCCTTTGGGTGGTGGACCATTCTTGATACACACAGGAAACTGTTGATCGTGAAAAACCCAGCAGCGTTGCAGTTCTTGACACACCCAAACCATTGCGCCTGCCACCTACTACCATACCCTGTTCAAAGGCACTTAAATATTTTGTCTTGCCCATACACCCTCTGAATGGCACACATTCTCAGTTGTCTCAAGGCTTAAAAATCCTTCTTTAACCTGTCTCCTCCCCTTCATTTACACTGATTGAAGTGGATTTAACAAGTGACATCAATAAGGGATCATAGCTTTCACCTGGATTCACCTGGTCAGTCTGTCATGGAAAGAGCAGGTGTTCCTAATGTTTAGTACACTCAGTGTATATTATTATTTTATTTATTTTTTACACTGTTTGGACTTACGCGACCCGAAAAAAACACTTAGAATGCCTGCCGGTTCTTTCTCTTCGCTAATGATGCGAGTGTGTTCAGTCTTCGGTCTTCTGTGTTTAGAATATCCTAGCCTATTCATTGATGATAGGCCCTGCTTTACTGAAGTTGCAACACACATGCAAGCCAAGAAATTGCGAGTTAGAAAATATTGAGTCTTAGGAGTCAACGAGTCTATCCCTAGCGGAATCGAATCTTGACACTCAGAAATGTGAGTTGAAACCAGGAGTCGACGTAGAAGGAGTCAAGGATTCGATTATTTTGGAGTCGATGCTCCACCACTACGTCATTGGCGTTGGAAATAACTGCGATAAGGGATGGAGTAGCCATTACTGCGGTAGATAGAACTGCATTGCCCCCTAACGGTCATACGCAGGACCATATTGTGCCTTGTGAATTCACATGCATTTTTATGATTTTTTTCGTATCGTTTAAACGTTTAACCAGAATTTATTTTTTCTTCCATTTGTCACATCCCTATGAAAAGCACTGACTTGACCCATCTGCTATTGGCTGTTCCTTACATTTGGATTGTCTCTTTCAGATTTCAGAGACTGGTTTGATCGACATCCTAGAAAAAGTTAGTCAGCAAACAGAAAAAAAGACAACTGTCAAGGTGAGTCCACGGATCAGATACAATATCACAATCTCAGACAGGCTTTTAACTGACTGCGTCCCCTCTCCTCCCCTCAGTTCAACCGACGAAAGGTGATGGACTCAGATGATGAGGATGATGATTGATGCGTTGAAAGGAGCCCAGGAGCCAGTCAGACGGCTGGCTTAGGGCGGGATTCAGGACAGGATAGGTTGGAGCAGGGCTCTGTTCGTTGGCGGCCATCTTTGACTTGCCAAAGGCCCTGCGTTAGTGATGCACCCTGGGATACCACATCATCCCCTGTGTGCATCTGGAACTCATTACTATATTCTCTCTTATATCCATTTTCACCACGTTTGACTTTTTCTCCACCACAAGAAGCAGAACAAAATGCAATTTAGGGTATATTGCTGCTGATACATTTTTTTAGAGACTGCTTTGTGAATACTGTCTGTGTGGATTTACTCAGCAATAGTGAAACCAAACTGGACAGAGCACATATTCAACATTTTTTGTTCATTTTTGCTGACAGTTTACATTTTTAAAAAATTAAAAGCCTTACATTTGAATGCTTATTCCACAATTAATTAAACACCGTTTTATCATGATGATATTTTGACTTTGAGCTGAGTGCTTGAAGACTCATTGATTGGTTATATGGGTTTGTACTACACTTGCTTTCATTAAAAAACAAAGTGTAATCACATAAGAAGAGCAATGGTGTAAGAATAAAGCCTAAAATATAGTTGGTTTTAAAATGTAGTCAATCTTCCCTCTTTACAAGGTGTCCTAGGTAGTGTATTAGGCTATCCGTTGCATTACATTGAAATGCATAGACTGAAGTTACATAGTTGCTTTGACTCACTAGGTTCAAATGGTCTTTGCTGGAATGTATGCAATATGTGCATTGAGAGGCTGAGACATGTATTTGTAGCAGGATTTGTTAAACGATCTCAATCGTTAGAAGTCTATGACAGCACTTGAACTTCCTGCTTCAATCATATTGAACAGGTGCATCGTGAGACTACACAGATATATGAATGGTTGCTTATATTGTACACCTGCCACAGGTAATACTCAATCAATATCTGACAGTACACTGATGTTACATTCAAGATGTTAGTGAATATTTGGAGATAAGCTAATGGGAGATTTGGTTTCATGTTCAAAGTGTTCACCCCAATAAATAAATGGCAGCATTGATAAAGCAGACAAGGAGTCATTCTTCTTGATCATTGAACACCTGTTCCTCTTATAATAATAATAAAGATACACTAGATTACTGTAATACACAGGCTGTACGTTTTTCTTTCCCCTGTAACCATAATTTCATATAACAGAATTTCACAGAAGGTACAAGAAGAACATAACACAAGAGCTGTGAATATACGGTAAATATACCCCACGCTACCATTCATATCCATTCACTGTACTGCATTTCGGACTGTAATCATGATACGCCCCCTAAATGGGGCTCTGGCCTCATTTTCGTACGACCGTGGTCTGATCAAAAGGATTGGCTGCCTCGTTTCAGTGGCGGAACATGAGTGCTTCTGATTGGTGGGAGGTTTAGCCATGTGCTCTACTCTTCCAATCAACAGAGACGTTTTCTAAAGCGCTACGGTTGTGCAGACATTACTGTATCAGTAGATCTCAGAATAGTAGACAGTCACGCGTTAATAGTAATTGTTGTTATTTTATTGCTCCTGGTTTTACTTTTTATCAAAATGCCCGAGGACAGCGGCAACAAGCTCACCATGGTAACATGCAGTGCGCCTGTGAATATCGCTGTCATCAAATACTGTGAGTATTGTCTTTTCGTATAATCCAGGACAGACATCTGATCGTCTGACTCTAGAAAGAACACTGTAAACCAAGTGTAGCCTGTCTTTAGATAGCCACATCTAGCTTCATGTAACGTAAATTGTAACATTGATTGAATCAATGAAGTGCTTGCTCGCAACACTGTAGCCACTTCTAGCCACGCTTTGACGTGTGGGCATTGGGACAAGACAAATGTATTGTTACAATGATGTACAATCTTTGAAAATAACTATGTATTGAATTGTAAATGCTTTGTTGTTATTGCTGTTTCAAAGGGGGGAAGAGAGATGAGGAGTTGATTCTACCCATAAATTCATCTTTGAGTGTCACATTACATCAAGACCAGGTAAGACTGTAATACTGTACACCAGACACTCAGGAAGTGTGTAAATGTTACTGTTTTGTTAAAACAACAAAAACGAACGATTACTGCCTTGTGATTATTCCTCCCAGCTCAAAACGACCACAACAGTGGCGTGCAGCAGATCGTTCCAGGAGGATCGTATCTGGCTCAACGGCAAAGAGGAGGACATAACCCAGGCCAGACTACAGTCCTGCCTTAGGGAGAGTGAGTCACTATGTGCAATGATGAGAGAGAGAGAGAGAGAGAGAGAGAGAGAGAGAGAGAGAGAGAGAGAGAGAGAGAGGAAAAAAAGGGGGAGGACAAGCAATAATTTGTTGTTGGTGGTTTCCTTCCTCAGTTCGGCGCCTGGCCCGTAAGCGACATAGTGATGGGGAGGCTGATGTAGACGCGGCTGCTTTGTCCCATAAAGTCCACATCTGCTCTGTCAACAACTTCCCAACTGCAGCCGGACTGGCCTCTTCTGCTGCCGGCTATGCCTGTCTGGGTAAGAGACTGTGTCCCATCATAATGGTTTGTATCTAACACAGCATTAAATGGATCAAATGAAGTAAAAGCTTGTGTGAAACTAGTTTTATGCTTTTAAAGGTTGGGAACTTAAGTACTGCCTCCATCTCTTCTTCCCTCTTCTCCTCACTCATTATTTTCCTTTTGTCTCTCCATCTTCACTCCTCAATCCATTCTCCTGTTCCAGTGTACACCATGTCCCGGGTGATGGGAGTGGAGGGGGAGTTGTCTGTGGTTTCTAGGCAGGGTTCAGGCAGTGCCTGTAGGAGTATGTATGGGGGCTTCGTCCAGTGGATTATGGGCCAGCAAGGAGATGGCAAGGACAGTCTGGCCCAGCAGGTGGAGCCAGAGACTCACTGGCCTGAGCTCAGGGTCCTTGTACTGGTGGTAGGTCTCTGATCATTACTGAAGATGGCTTTCTCTGTAGCAAATGTTGGCATATTCATTTCTCCCATGTCTTTAATAATCTCAACACCTCCATCTCTCTGTCTCCCTCTCTCTTTTTAGGTCAGTGCTGAGCGGAAACCAGTTGGCAGCACTTCCGGCATGCAAACTAGTGTAGAGACAAGCAGTCTCCTAAAGGTACACACTCACACATAAAGGTATGTTATTAACCCTTACCCTTAACCCTTGCGCTCTCCCCCTCAGCACCGGGCAGACTCTGTGGTCCCAGCCAGGATGAAGGAGATGATTGAGGCTGTACATAAGAGGGACTTTACTGCGTTTGCTGAGCTGACCATGAAGGACAGCAACCAGTTCCATGCCACCTGCCTGGACACCTACCCACCCATCTTCTACCTCAACGACGTGTCGCACCGTGTCATCAACCTTGTGCACCGCTATAACCGCCACTACAGGGAAACAAGGGTGAGCACCATCAGGGAGTTAGTTCTTTCTTTTAGTCATATGGAAATGTGGTAGTCATATGGAACATTGTCAGTTCTACAAGGGGTCTAAGCTAAGAAGCAGAACAAGGTGCAGTAATTGTTGATATTCTGAGATTATGAAACTGGTAGTATTTTTACAGTTCAAGAGGAACAGAATGTGTTAACAAGCCCAAGTATAGATGTGGTAAAGAAGTCAATGGAACTTGACAAAAACAATGGAAATGCCATGGAAAGATCCAGAATCTCCTCATTGCCCCTAAGCAAAATAGACTATTGTTAATGTGTATTTCACACTATGTTGAGGTACAAATCAGAGTATAATGCTTGTATTGATGTTAACCTCAAAACATGTTCATGTCATCGTCACCAATCATCTGCATTACAGTTAAAAAAACGACCACCACCGATTTCTCTATGCTAGCTATGCTACCAGCTTATACGAACGGGAGTTAGCATTTAGCAGTCACTTCTTCTAAACCTGAAAAGGGACTACTTCTAAATGTTATGCATTGAAAACAGCCAAGTATATCCAAATCAGACTTTGTTACAATACATCGATCATGGCGGATTTGACGAATATCCACTTTGTTAGATCAGATTTGTTGAATGTGTGCCAATCCGTCTTTCCCCACAGTCTGCATTCTTTTGACCTCTTTACCGCATCTTTGACCTAGTACTTCTTCATGAGTCTCAGAGGACTAGTGCAGCATCACATCCCTCCTTCTGCTGACACTGTTATAACACTGCTGTAACAAAGCTATAACTTTGGTCCAGAGTTATAAGCAGTGACCGATGATGTTTTCTCTTCTCCACCAGGTGGCATACACGTTTGATGCAGGGCCCAATGCAGTGATCTACACTCTTCAGCAGAATGTGGAAGAGTTTGTCCAGGTGGTTAAACACTTCTTCCCACCAGAGACCAACGGAGGACAGTGAGTTTCTCACAAACACACACTCAGCCAGTCAGACAAAACTCCCTCCTGTGACTGTACCTGTCCCACTTCAGGTTTCTAAAAGGTATTCCGGTTGCCCTGACAACACTATCCGAGGAGCTGAAGCAGAGCATTGGGATGGAGCCCGTGGTGAAGGGAATCAGTTATATTATCAGCACTAAGGTACACACACACACACACACACACATAGGCACATACACATAGGCAGCACCCTCCAGGTCCTTTGCCCGTTTCCTGTGCATGTCTGCGGGTTGGCGTAGTCGAGGGTTTTGGGGAGCGAGCTTGATGCTCTCTCCAACCGGCTTACGGGAAATCACCAGGAATGCAGATCTTATAAACACACACATTATGTATGGGTCTGCTACATTTTGATGTGATATTAAGTTGGTTTGTCTGAGTGATTATTTCTGATTTGTGAAAAAGGCTGGACCTGGACCTCGCGTGGTGGGGGACCCTAGTGAACATCTGCTTGGATCTGACGGGCTGCCCAAGAAGAGTGCATGATACAAGCCAGCCTCCCAGCTGGGCAGAGACAGAACTCTTTGGTGAAAAGAAAGACCAGACATATTAACAATTCCAATTCAATCAATTGGATAAATATGCATAGACGTAGTCATTAAAGGGGCAATCTGCAGTTGCTATATCCATTTTTGGACTTATAAAATAATGATATGTAACCATTGATTCTTCAAGAATATAACTTATAAATACCTCATGAGCTTAGTTAAACTGTCCTATCCCATCAGAACTCAAAATAAATGCTTGTTTTACTACAATGTTTGTAAACAAAGTAAATGTAAACAAACATTTAAAACATGGTTAAAACTATACTTTTGATATCATGGATGGTCAGTCCTTGCAGATATAATTTTGAGAGTGGTTACATTTCTCCAGACCCATCCCTCAGCTTTTTGCCAAAACTAAGGATTGCCCCTTTAACTGGAGCGAAACAACCACACACGGATGAATACCTCTCACACTGTTGACTAGTGCTTCATTCGGACACCTTTCCTATTGCGAGTTTGTATTAAATGTTTTGTCATGTTAAAGATGAGGGGATGCCTTGTGAGAATGATCAGAAATGCTCTAGTACTTTGATAACTGTAGAAAACAATTTCAAATGCATCTATGTTGATTTTCTAAGTAGATTATGTACATTTTATTAAAGTATAATGGTTTTAACAGTCACCTTCAGAGTGAATCATAAGACAATCTCATTTCAATTGTTATAACCCTTAAAAATGATTATAAATTACAGTATTGAGAACAATGTCAGTGCTTTAGTATAAGAGATGGATATATAGGCCTACATGTCACAGGTCCCAGAGGTGGGGCCATTTTTTTTCCTCCTGATGATAACCAGGTAAAACTACAAAAACTCTACAACCTAGTTGTAGCAGGGACCTTAAGGGTTGCCCTATTGCCTGGGGCAAGTGACCTGAGCAGTCGGGCAAGTTGAGTCTGCTCTAAAGTTGCCCCAGCTAAAAATGTTTTACTGAAAACAACGAAAGCGTAAGGAATTCCAATAGACATAGCCTAAAACTGATCTTTCTGGTTCATCCCACATTGTTTAAGTCAGGGTTTCCAAACTCGGTCCTGTGCTCCCCTCCCCCAGCACTACACAGCTGATTAAAATAACTAACTCATTATCAAGCTTTGATTGTTTGAATCCGCTGTGTAGTGCTAGGGCAAAAAACAAAACGTGCTCCCAATGGGGGCCCCAGGACCGAGTTTGGGAAACCCTGGTTTAAGTGAAAGATGGACAATTTATGTCAGCCGGGCAAGTTGAGCCTGCTCTATATTACAACAGCTGAACGTTTCCCCCTTGACCAAATCATGTCAGGCAGCAAAGTTAGTTAAGGCAGAGATTATGGATATACTGACAAGATACTTGTCCTGTGCCCTAACAATGGAGTCGTTGTCCACAAAGCGGCACAGATTCATATGCATAGCGGGCTGTCAAACCTCTCTTTGGATTGGTGAATACATCTCATTATTTTAATTCTTTTTTGAATATTCAATTAGGGTTGTTGACGTCAACCGCCTTTATTCAATGGAGAGATGCTACTTGCCTCATTATGCATAGCCATCTTGAGACAACTCTTGATATAACGTTTTTTTTTTTCAAAGTTGCCGGGATGTCACGTGTCCTACTTATATCAGTACACTCGTAACAATTTAAGCATTACGAAACTTCTATTCGATCAAATAAACCTCACGTAGCAAATAAGCCATTACATTTTTTGTTGACCAAATTCGACACTTATTGACCTCCATACAAAAACTCCTTGCTTGGTGAGCGAAAGAAACGAAACAACGTCACCTGCTTGTAGAAGACAGATTTTTGGCCGAGTTGGGCCTCTCGCTTCGCCTCTTCCTCTCTGGTTAAGGGTTACTCCTCCCAGGTCACATCCCCAACCCTTTTGCCTATCGCCTGCTCGGAAGTTACGGGTCGGACCAGTCGGCGGCTACCACCCACCTTTGTTCCTCCAAAAATAATACATTTTGACTTTCCATAATAATCGAACGTGACAACCGCGATCAGTTGGATAACTGCCGAGCATAAAGAGGGGTTCTGTTGGTCCGAACAGAGACAGCATGGGGAAAATAGAATGGGCTATGTGGGCCAATGAACAGGCTCTGGCGGCGGGTCTCAGTGAGTAGAGAACTTTTGTCAAGTTTAGACGTCTGAGTTTGGTATTTGTATTATGGTTTCAACTGTTAGAGGAATGCGTAATCCCATTAGTTGTGAGTTATTACTGTATACGAATAGATGTTTTTCCAGTAGGTTACGCCTAACTAAAAACAAAATGAATAACATTTTCCAGATAAAAATATTATCAGTCATGACATTATATTGGTAGTGAAAATATTTGTCAAAATAAAACGTGTCTGTATAAAATACTAAATCAAATCAACTTGGGAAAAAAGTGTGCAAATGATTTGGTTCTTGGCACATTTTGATTTGAAAGTTACAGTATATATAAAAAAGTGTCTTAATCTGTGACTTGCAGGAACTGTTATGATAAACGAAACATTTTCTTCTTCCTACTTCCTTATTTCAGTTCTTCTTACTGGTGGCATAGTGGGGGTGGCCGGCCAGTTCAGGGACTGGGAGTTTGCTGCTTATGCTATGTATCCTTTCACTGGGGCAGAGCTGTCTCTTACAGTATAATTCCATGCACAAAATGGTATCTATTGTCGTGATTAAATGCTGATTTACCATTGACATGTCACAAGGAAATGTTTGTAGATGCATTATAGACATCTACACCATAATGTATCTTATTTGTGCATTTATGTCCAGATGAGACCCACGTTTATATTTGCATTGTATAGTGAGGTCCAGGTGTACCTGTTGTTGTTGAGGAACCTTGACTGGTGTGCCCAGAGCTGCAGGGGTCTTTGTCTGTCTACTAGAGTACCCAAGGGGCAAGAGGAACAAGGGAACCAGCGTAGAAAGGACGTGAGTACCCACATACACCATACCAAGCTAACGTTTCTGTAAAGTCACTCTAACAGTGATGCAACAGATATGTTTCCACCAGTTGAAAGCAAGTCATAACAAGTCGTCATCACTGAAAGTTTGTAAGTTCACTATACATAACTTCTAATATTGTGATTCTTCCAGGGGTCAGTACTGCTTCACTGTCTGTGTGAAGTCATTCGGCCCACTGACCAGGAACTACTATGTCAGAGCGTTTCTACATGCAGCGTGAGTACACAGTGTGTCAGTCTAATCAGATCTCTGGGCTGAGACTACATTCTTTCCCTTCACTGTCTACTTCCAGCTATAGCAGAGACAGGTTGTGTCATTGTGCACAGTCATTCCTAACACCACCTTCATAGTTTAAATGTCACATTGCATGTTATCAGTGCGTTGCCTTTGTAACACTCTTTTTCTGTGTGTGTGTTTGTGTGTGTTTATAGGATCTGCGTTCCTGGTGGTTTCATCCTTGCAACTGTCCTTGGCTGTGTCTGCCTCGGCATAGCTAGCCTCATCTACCTTGCGGTTAGTATTTCAAGTATTTGAAAGTATTTGACCCAAGTTAGGTGGTCAGACAACAACAAGGAAATGGTTCAGACAGGAAACGCCACGTATTAGTTTAACCATTTATTAGAAGATTACAATATATGCAGTACATTAGTCTTGGTGTTAGGCTCCGCTCCTTCGGGGTAGCTCACTGCCAGAGCATAGATCAAATAAGATATAATAATAACAGGCAATGAACAAGGTATGCTATACCAATCCCCCTGACCGAAACAAAAGCAGAGTCCAAACAGGTGGAGGCTGGGGTGGGTGGTGGGAAAGCAGAAAACAGACACGCATGGCGAGTAATGCATGTTACAGCATTAGCATGTCACCAAGAACACCAGCGCATAGCTTACCCATGGCAGCCATCAGAGAATGTGTGAGCAAACCTGGTCAACTAAATAGACCGCCATATTAAGGTAGTGTGATAAATCTAATTGGTGCAATATCAGCTGATGCTATCAGTTGATGCAACACTCAGGTTTCCTGTATGAACCTACTGCGCTTGATTTACAAGGAAGCATTTGTTTGCCCTCTGGTATTTTTATTGAGACATTATTAGCTAGTTAAGAAACCCAGGCTGTTAGGGGAGTGACTTGGCTGTTATCACCTGTTGTTGGGAATTCACTGCATGCATGTTTCTAGAGAGCAGCACCAGAGCAACCCATTTATCTATGTTAATTGAGGGAGCCTGAATGATCTTTTGTCTGTATGTCTTCCAGGCGGCCATCCGAGGGGAGCAGTGGGAGCCCATCATGCCCAGGATGGAGAGTGCCCGTAAGCCGGTGGCAGAGAGCATCAAGCTCCCTCCCCAGAACCCTCCACCACGCCCACCCGCTGAGATGCGCAGGAAACGGGCAGAGGACCTGGAGGCGGCTGCCTATGTCAACCCCATCGCTGTCACTGCCAATGACTAGATCCCCTTACTGTCCTTCCCTCAGGCCTGCTGGGCTAAGCTCACTCAGGTTAGCTTATAGTTCCACTGAGCCCCAACCAAAACCGATATACAGTGGGGCCCCACCCAGGCCATGCTCACTCCTGACTGCCATTGGCTGAGGGCCGAATCCTAAATTGAGATAGATATGTTTGCATAACTTAGACTTTTGTGTAAATTGGGCATTGGCATCAATGGGGATTTTTTATGGACAGGTATCAAGTTAGGAATCAGGCCTCGGAGAGTAGAGGGATGTGGAGAGGACACACTGCTGCTGATGTTTGATGATGTATAAGGGATTGTATTGAAGTGAGATGTTGCTGTGCCTTGTGGATCTTTAGTTACTGCTTTTACAAAAGGTTTGTGTCCTATGTCTCTGCACCGCCTGCCACAACTCTTTCAGTTACAATAATTTTGGTCCCCTAAAAAGGCTTTGGAATGTAAATGGCAAAGTTTGTATTCTTGTTGTGACAGTAAGTTATTTTGTGAGTAATTGGATGAATAGAAAATCAACCACATTTACTGGCACAGATCTAATGAAATTATTTTAAAAGAGAATGAAGAGCTATTTATATATTTTGTATCCTCAGAATATACTGTGTTCTTTTACACTGGAATGTTAACTGTTTATAAGCAAGCACTGTTTTGCATTATCTCTTTCTCTTTTTGGCCAGTTTACTATGTCAGTGGCCAACTAGCTGTATGTTGGAAAGTTATGTGTTCACCACGCTACAAAATAAAGTATGTCTATGTTTTATGCTTGTTATGCTTTTGATACAATCTGAAAACAAACATAGTTATTCTAGTTATTTCAAATTTGCACGTTTACCATATAACCACAATTAATGTTTGTGTCTGTTTCATCATTGATGATCTGTGGGTTTGGAATGACAATTACGTGTCATGTCTCAAGTTTTACATTTCCTACTTTCTAATAGTTCCTTTGAACCGTATGTATTTCACCGTTCCTTCTCACAGCGCAACACACAAAGAGGCTCACACACTTTATTACGACACATAGGAAATTCCTGCACTATTTAGATCATACACAGCCACAGAGATGTCATGAAGTAGTTATAACAGATGAACATTTAGAGGTGCCCACTGTTTGTTTATATACCCTAATGACATTTCCAGAGGTTGTTACATACATGTACATTTATTTCCTCCATATCAAGCACCTTCCTCATTCCTATGGTCACAGTTGACCTTTACCTCAAGAATGAGGAATGCAATGTGTGTTTCCTTGAGTGCTTGGGTTTGGCAACCATTACATCATAACAGCAGCAGGAACATGTGCAACTTCCTTGTTGGTTTATCTGTGTTATACTCAGTCTAATTTATTAGTTATAATGGGCATTTCCTTGATACCATAACACATAAAAGGTATTGATAGACGCAGGGCAACCCTTGTTTACAACAAAAATATGCATTGGTCATAGGCTTTGAAACCATTAACTGACTTTACAGCAACAGCCTTGGTAGTGGTTGCCGCTCCCCCTGCATGCAAATAATAGTTGAAATGTTGGAAGTCGTTAGTTCCCTTTTGTGTGAACTAATTTCAGGCATTTTCAGAGCCTTTGTCCTAACGCACTACTGCCTCCTAGTGGTACAAAGGTAAACGGCAGCGAACTGTGATTATCAAAACGAAAATAGTTGGCCTGCACTAAGATTGTCTACATAGAGCACCCGTAGAATAAGCTCTTTGGCATGCGGATTTCGCTCTCATGTTGTTTATGGCTGGAGCTGGGTCAAATCCCAGCTGAACCATAACCCATCTTCGTGACAACTCTGTCCCGGGAAGATGTCGAGCCGTGCTCTGAGGAGGTTGAAGGGGAAAAAGCGGGGGCAGGAGGCCCTGGACCTCGGAGATCTAGTCCCAGGTGAAGGGCCAGAGCCAGAGGAGAAGGCTGCGGATGTTGAGGAGGAAGAATGGGAACTGGATGAAGCTATTCTCCAGCCTGCTAAGAGCAGCAGCAGGAAAACAAAGAAGAATAAGAACAACTTGAGCAACATTTACGAACTGGTAGTGTTTCTCTTTTTCTAAGACACATTTTAAAGAAATGTCTTGCTAACTGCCACGTAGCTCCACCCCTAGGCTACGTAACTTTGTGACAAAGCTAGCTAGCTTGTTAAGCTAGTCAATGAAATAAGCAGCTGGACACATCGACATATACAGACAGTGTCAACAAATCAAACAATAATTATACTGACTAACTGCTTTTGCCTGGCCAGACAGGACTCATACAGTACACCCCCTTGCCTTGACCATATGAATGTCACTAGGATGGGTTGGAATTCCAATGGCTCCCACAAGAAATCAAGGCAGAGACTGACTAAAGATTAATTAAAACGATGTGCAATGTAGAGATTTAGTCTCTGATATACAACCTTAACCTGAGCCTTTCCCTCCTTTGCTGGAACCACATCTCTGCAGATATGTGACGCAGAGAATGAAGCAGAGAAAGCTACGACTGATGAAGACACAGTGAAGCCAGAAGAACAGAATGGTGATGAAGGCGAGGAGAAGAGCAACAGTGGGGAAACAGAGAAGAGAGATGCACAGCCTGAGACAGGTGCTGCGAAGGTGAGGAGAGGGAAACGGACACCCTTAGATACACTGTAGCCTCCACAGTATTATGGGGTATTGAGAGCCCTTTCCTCTTCAGTCTTGTTGTTATTATGCATGATTGCTCTAGTCGGAATGTTTTGAAGAGCTGTCTAACTGTTTTTATTTTCTTATGATGTCAGCCTGAGTCCGGAGATAAAGCGAGCAAGAAAAAGAAGAAGAAGAAGAAGAAGAAGAACACTACAGGAGATAAACTGGTATACAGTCCATCTTGACAAATCACTTACACATATGTCCCCCAATGTGAGGGCACTGTTGTGCACATTGCCATATTTGCCACTTGCTTTAGCAGCATTTCATTGTATGTTGAGGCTATGGGGGTGCTGCCCTGATGCCGTCTCACTCAGTCACATAGGCTGCTCTGTCTTATATTTGACTCTTATGTGTGGTTGTCAGGAGGTAGCTGGGGATGACATTGATGCGTTGCTGGAGAGCATAGAGCAGTCTAATGGACTGACCCTGCAGAATGAGGGCTGTGGAGGCTCAGACAACAGGCCTGTACTCTACGTGGAACACAGGTGAGTAGGTCCACAGCACTGCATCCAATCAGACATCAGGACTCTCTGTGGGGTAATGTCATCCAATCAGAGTACACAGAACTTATGGCAGTCATTTATCAGTGATAGATTTTAGTTGAACTTACCCTCTTTTGTTGGTTAGGAACCTGAATCCTGAGACAGAGTTGAAGAGATACTTTGGAGCTCGAGCAGTTCTTGGAGATCAAAGGTAAGATATTCACAGAACTCCTTATCTGTGGGACTAATACTACTAAAGGTTACAGTATAAGCCCATCTCTTCATTCTTTCTTCAGACCTCGTCAGAGACAGAGACAGTTCCATCGCAGCACCTGGATGACCATCCCTAAAGACACCTGGCCACGCTTCAGTCGCCCAGGTCAGACCTACTCTCAACCTCTCACACTCGGCATCGCTCAGAACGCTGAAAGCCTTGTGAATACATACTATTTATGCAACATTTCACAGAAATGTTTTTGTGGATGCAAATGTAATGAAGTATCTCCCATGACAAAGTCACAAAACGGAAGATAATGCCCTCATACTAGGGCTGTCCCCAACCCAAAAAATTATTGGTTGACCAAGAGTAATCTGTTCTTTCGGCATTATCTTCTGTTTTGTGACTTTGTTATGGGAGATACTTAAATACATTTGCATCCACAGAAACATTTCTGTGAAATGTTGCATAAATAGTATGTATTCACAAGGCTATTTTCCATATATAGGCACATCCTATGTGTTTTAATCAAATCAACTATATGCACTGAGATTGTCTGATGCTTTAAGACACAGAAATGACTAGAGGGAGTCTGACCACAATTGATTGGATTGTGCCACCTGGCTCAGACTTTCTGCGCTGTGTTACAAAAAAAGACAGCGAGTGACTGTGTGACTAGCACCCTGTGTCTCTCTCTCCTCCCTGCTGCAGCGACCACCACACATCAACAGTGTGTATAGCGCTATCCGTGTTGCTGAAGCCATTATGTTACCGAAATCCCTAATTTGTTTAGGAAAAACATTCCCTATTCCCTCAACCCTTGCTCTCTCTATGTAAAACATGTATGCTTCGCATGCACGTGACCAATAGGGCCTGACCTATAGCATATCATAATCACATCAATAAATTGGTTATAACAAACTCTGAACACAGTAACACAAACACTCAAACAGGCAACAGAAGCAGGATCTGTCTTATATATATATATATATATATATATATATATATATATATATATATATATATATGGAATAATTGATCATAATAATAATATCTGTCACATTGTTCTCAACACCAATATGCTGGTTAACTTTGCTATTAGCAACATGGTCTAGGAAAAGGCGCCAATTCAACAGCGCACTGATGTGTTTCAGAACAGCAACCATTGTCCCAACGCAGGAGAAAGTGCATTTGTTATAAAATAATATATTTTTATTTGTGTTGCACCATTGTTCTTACATAATATAACCATATACAATTTCAGTATCATGTCTTAGACTGATGGGCTGTTCCATCCCCACAGCCTCCACAATGGATCAGTCCACTCAGACAGGTATAGCAGGGTCCCCGTTAGCTACTGCGAAGGCAGCCACTACTCTTTCTATGGTCCAAACAGGAACAGAAAAATAGGCTTGGGCGATATACCGTATATCAGGGTATTTCAAAATACCGACGGTATGATTTTCAATACCGTTCAGAAATTAAAAACACACAAAAAAAGTTATACTTTTTGGGTTGGGAGCACCCCCGCCTCGCGGGGGCTGCGAGAGTGTGTGCTACTCCACTGCTTATAACTATAATTGAAATATAACTATAAGAAATCTCAGATAAATTATATCCAGCTCAGGGCTCCAGCTATGCATTTGGTTTGCTAACATGCTAGCTAAGTGGCTAGATGTCAAAATCAAGCTTCTTGGTTACAGCAGAGACATTCAATACCCTCCTGGATCAAGATCCCTTTTGCCTAAATGGTTTTGTGTGTAAATAAAAAAATTATCAATACCCCGATATGGTAGAGAAATGGTATGACGGTATGAAAATCTGGAGACCGCCCCACCCTACAAAACAAAAAAACACATCAAAACAATAGTTTACATCATAAATAAATCAATACATCACAACAAATATTGTGTACTATACAAATTCACACTGCTCCACCATAACAGATGTACAATCTAAAATGTACAACAATACAATATTACAGTGTGTGTGTGTGTCTCTTCACAGTCTGCGTTGTGCCGTGAGGTGTTGTTTTTATGTTTTTTAAAATCTGATTTTACTGCTAGATTGGGTTACCTGATGTGGAAGAGAGTTCCATGTTGTCTTGGCTCTATGAAGTACTGTGCGTTTCCCAACCTCTGTTCTGGCCTTAAGGCAGGACTCTACAACCCTGTTCCTGGAGAGCTATTGTCCTGAAGGTTTTCGCTCCAACCCTAATCTAGCACACCTGATTCTAATAATTAGCTGGTTGATAAGCTGAACCAGTTTAGTTACAACTGAGGTTGAACTAACTGAAAACCTACAGGAGGTTAGCTCTCCATGAACAGGGTTGGAGACCCCTGCTTTAGGGACTGTGAAGAGACCCCTGGTGGCATGTCTTGTAGGGTATTAATGGGTGTCTGAGCTGTGTGTTAGCTGTTTGAACAGACAGTTCAGTGCTTTCAACACGTCGAAACCTCTCACAAAGACAAGTAGTGATGCAGTCAATCGCTCCTCTACTTTGAGCCAGGAGAGATTGACAGGCATGTTTATTTTTTTTATTTTTTTACCTTTATTTAACTAGGCAAGTCAGTTAAGAACAAATTCTTATTTACAATGACGGCCTTCACCGGCCAAACCCGGACGACGCTGGGCCAATTGTGCGCCGCCCTATGGGACTCCCAATCACGGCCGATTGTGATACAGCCTGGAATCGAACCAGGGGGTCTGTAGTGACGTCTCAAGCACTGAGATGCAGTGCCTTAGACCACTATTAGCCCTCTGTGTAGTGTACATTTAAGGGCCAGCCACGCTATAGCTCTAGTTCTCTGAAATACATTTTGATATGCCAGTTTCTATTTATTAGGATTTAATAAATTATGCTAAATTTAATCCCCATCTCCTCAGGCTGGCGCCTCTGTGTTGAGCAACAAGGCGACAGTGTCTCTCCATTATCACAAATTTGGAATTCTCATCAGCAGGACTCTAAGAATCCTGGTTCAGTTTGGGTAGCTTATAACCAATCAAGAGTAGCAACAGAAAAAATTACATGTTAACAGCAGTGGGCAGCCTGAAGCCATGTTGACAGAGAGCTTTTCTGGGTAGGATCACACCAAAGGCTTTGTTCTGTGGATTTGAACTTTGCCCTATGAAGTCAAATCACCATGTATCATTAATCAAATGCTGCCTAGCCCTTGGCCTCAAATACTCTTTTGATGTTTGGGAAAGACTCCATTGATGTTTGGGTCCATAGTGCCCCTGGTGTTGTGGGATACTGGGTTGTTTAACCCAGAGCTGAGGTTGGAGAAGAATCAGAGTTTCTGTTATGGCAGTGTTAGCTACTCCTCAGGGTGTCAAAGCTCCCCCAAACTCAAGGCTTATGTAATCACCTGACTGGAGATTTGATCTGGGAAATATCACTTCCCTCCCAAAATATAGATGGGTGATTTTATCTTTTACCTCTCACTTTTTGAGTAGTCTCAATGTCTTAGCTTGTACAGTGCATTCGGAAACTATTCAGACTCCCTGACTTTTTCCACATTTTGTTACATTACAGCCTTATTCTAAAATTGATTAAATTGTTTTTTTTCTCTCATCAATCTACACACAATACCCAATAATGACAAATCAAAAACAGGTTTTTAGAAATTTTTACAAATGTATAAAAAACAAGACCCTTTACTCAGTACTTTGTTGAAGCACCTTTGGCAGCGATTACAGCCTCAAGTCTTCTTGGGTATAACGCTACAAGCTTGGCACTCCTCTATTTGGGGAGTTTCTCCCATTCCTCTCTGCAGACCCTCTCAAGCTCTGTCAGGTTGGATGGGGAGCGTTGCTGCACAGCTGTTTTCAGGTCTCTCCAGAGATGTTCGATCGGATCAAGTCCGATCGTCTGGCTGGGCCACTCAAGGACATTCAGAGACTTGTCCCGAAAGCCACTCCTGCGTTGTCTTGGCTGTGTGCTCAGGGTCATTGTCCTGATGGAAGGTGAACCTTCGCCCCAGTCTGAGCGGTCTGGAGCAGGTTTTCATCAAGGATCTCTGTACTTTGCTCTGTTAATCTTTGCCTCGATCCTGACTAATCTCCCAGTCCCTGCTGCTGAAAACATGCCCACAGCATGATGTTTCCACCACCATGCTTCACCGTAGGGATGGTGCCAGGTTTCCTCCAGACGTGACACTTGGCATTCAGGCCAAAGAGTTCAATCTTGGTTTCATCAGACCAGAGAATCTTGTTTCTCATGGTCTGAGAGTCTTTAGGTGGCTTTTGGCAAACTCCAAGCGGGCTGTCATGTGCCTTTTACTGAGGCGTGGCTTCAGTCTGGCCACTCTACCATAAAGTCCTGATTTGGTGGAGAGCTGCAGAGATGGTTGTCCTTCTGGAAGGTTTTCCCATCTCCACAGAGGAACTCTGGAGCTCTGTCAGAGTGACCATCGGGTTCTTGGTCACCTCCCTGACCAAGGCCCTTCTCCCCCTGGCGGCTAGCTCTAGGAAGAGTCTTGGCGGTTCCAAATTTCTTCCATTTAAGAATGATGGAGGACACTGTGTTCTTGGGGACCTTCAATGCTGCAGAAATGTTTTGGCACCCTTTCCCAGATCTATGCCTCAACACAATCCTGTCTCGGAGCTCTGCGGACAATTTCTTCAACCTCATGGCTTGGTTTTTGCTCTGACATGCACTGTCAACTGTGGGACCTTATGTAGACAGGTGTGTGCCTTTCTAAATCATGTCCAATCAATTTACATTTTAGTCATTTAGACTAAAGCGACTTACAGTTAGTGAGTGCATACATTTTCATACTGGCTCCCTGTGGGAAATGAACCCACAACCCTGGCGTTGCAAGCGCCATGCTCTACCAACTGAGCTACAGGGGACCCCAATGAAGTTGTAGAAACATCTCAAGGATGATCAATGGGAACAGGGTTGCACCTGAGCTCCATTTCGAGTCTCATAGCAAATGGGCTGAATACTTTTGTAATTAAGGTAAACTCAGCAAAAAAAGAAACGTCCCTTTTTCAGGACCCTGTCTTTCAAAGATAATTCGTAAAAATCCAAATATCTTCACAGATCTTCATTGTAAAGGGTTTAAACACTGCTTCCCATGCTTGTTCAATGAACCATAAACAATTAATGAACGTGCACCTGTGGAACGGTCGTTAAGACACTAACAGCTTACAGACGGTAGGCAATTAAGGTCACAGTTATGAAAACTTAGGACACTAAAGAGGCCTTTCTACTGACTCTGAAAAAGACCAAAAGAAAGATGCCCAGGGTCCCTGCTCATCTGCGTGAACGTGCCTTAGGCATGCTGCAAGGAGGCATGAGGACTGCAGATGAGGGCAATAAATTGCAATGTCCGTACTTTGAGACGCCTAAGACAGCGCTACAGGGAGACAGGACAGACAGCTGATCGTCCTCGCAGTGGCAGACCACGTGTAACAACACCTGCACAGGATCGGTACATCCGAACATCACACCTGCGGGACAGGTACAGGATGGCAACAACAACTTCCAGAGTTACACCAGGAACGCACAATCCCTCCATCAGTGCTCAGACTGTCCGCAATAGGCTGAGAGAGGCTGGACTGAGGGCTTGTAGGCCTGTTGTAAGGCAGGTCCTCACCAGATATCACCGGCAAAAACGTCGCCTATGGGCACAAACCTACCGTCGCTGGACCAGACAGGACTGGCAAAAAGTGCTCTTCACTGACGAGTCGCGGTTTTGTCTCACCAGGTGTGATGGTCGGATTCGCGTTTATCGTCAAAGGAATGAGCGTTACACCGAGGCCTGTACTCTGGAGCGGGATCGATTTGGAGGTGGAGGGACCGTCATGGTCTGGGGTGGTGTGTCACCGCATCATCGGACTGAGCTTGTTGTCATTGCAGGCAATCTCAACGCAGTGCGTTACAGGGAAGACATCCTCCTCCCTCATGTGGTACCCTTCCTGCAGGCTCATCCTGACATGACCCTCCAGCATGACAATGCCACCAGCCATACTGCTCGTTCTGTGCGTGATTTCCTGCAAGACAGGAATGTCAGTGTTCTGCCATGGCCAGCGAAGAGCCCGGATCTCATCCCATTGAGCACGGCTGGGACCTGTTGGATCGGAGGGTGAGGGCTAGGGCCATTTCCCCCAGAAATGTCAGGGAACTTGCATGTGCCTTGGTGGAAGAGTGGGGTAACATCTCACAGCAAGAACTGGAAAATCTGGTGCAGTCCATGAGGAGGAGATGCACAGATACTGACTGTTACTTTTGATTTTGACCCACCCTTTGTTCAGGGACACATTATTCAATTTCTGTTAGTCACGTCTGTGGAACTTGTTCAGTTTATGTCTCAGTTGTTGAATCTTGTTATGTACATACAAATATTTACACATGTTAAGTTTGTTGAAAATAAACGCAGTTGACAGTGAGAGGAGTTTATTTCTTTTTTTAAATGTGGAATACATTTCTAAAAATCTGTTTTCGCTTGTTGTCATTATGGGGTATTGTGTGTAGATTGATGAGGGAAAAAACGATTTAATCAATTTTAGAATAAGGCTGTAATGTAACAAAATGTGGAAAAAGTCAAGGGGTCTGAATACTTTCCGAATGCACTGTATATCTATATCGAATTGTCAGATCATTATCTTTATTCCACATACATATCTATATGAAATTGATGCAATTTCAACATACTGCAACTGTACACACATGTAACCAATAATGTGTATAAATCCTGGATGACTGATGGGGCACTGTATTGATACTCCTCCTCAATTGTAAAAAAGATTTTGGAAGCTATAGAAATGCATTTATAAATGTCTACATTCGTTTTTGACACTTTTATTCTAATACAGACACTTTAATGCATACTTTTCAATTATATTATGTGAGCTAAACATAAAATGAAAAAATATATAAAAACATTTTCCTTAAAGTATTTTTTTTAGAGGGTACTAATGTTACTGTCCCCACTACAACAACAACAATATTTAAATGCATGTAATTGTGTCCTTAAAACATTTAAGTGAAATACTGTAGAATATCATTCATTCCTGTGGAGGACTGCTCCTACTAGGGAATGCCAATATGGCCGACTGGTGGCTTCAAAGCCTCTGAATGGGCAATACATAGTGTTTATATACTTCATTGCATGTAACTCACATAGAATAATACTGTCTGTAATATTTCCTCCCTCAGGTATCTCAATGACCCTACTGGAGTCCAGGGATGGTCTACAGTACTTCACCTTCGAACACAGCCGGGACTACCAGCAGATCCAGTTCAAGTTCCTGGACTCAGTGGAGTCCATGGATCCCAACAACATTGTGGTAAGGGTTCACCCACGGTCTCAGGGGTCAAGGGTCATCATAACTAGGCTAATCAATGGGACTGCAGTTCATAAAAGTCTTTCATATTGACATGATACTCAGAAATATAACTGGAGATTGATTAGCAATGCCGTGATGCATGTCTCAAATATCTAGGACAACCGATATGCATGATTCTAGATTCTAGATCAATTTTAACAAACATTCTAGATCACGGCATGAGAAACTAGAGAATTCAGAGAGGGAATTCAGTTGAAATTTAAGGTTGAGGACATATATGGTTTCTAATGTTTAGACAAACGGTGATCCCCCCCGCCCCGCCCCCCCCCCCCCCCGCCCTCCCCCTGTCCACCCCACTCTCCCCCCCCCCCCCCCCCCCCCACTCTCCCCCTGTCCCCCCTACCCTCCCCCTGTCCCCCACCCTACCCCTGTCCCCCCCCACTCTCCCCCCCCCCCCCCCCCCACTCTCCCCCTGTCCCCCCTACCCTCCCCCTGTCCCCCACCCTACCCCTGTCTCCCCCCCACTCTCCCCCTGTCCCCCACCCTACCCCTGTCTCCCCCCCACCCTCCCCCTGTCCCCCACTCTCCCCCTGTCCCCCCTACCCTCCCCCTGTCCCCCACCCTACCCCTGTCTCCCCCCCACCCTCCCCCTGTCCACCCCACTCTCCCCCTGTCCACCCCACTCTCCTCCTGCCCCCCCACCCTACCCTCTCCCCAGGCCCTGCTCCAGATGAACCCCTACCACATTGACTCCCTGCTGCAGCTTTCTGATGTCTGCCGCATACAGGAGGACCAGGAGATGGCCAGGGACCTCATCGGTGAGTATCAGGGACCTGATTGGTGAGTGGGACTCCTGTCTTTGCTCTGATTGGCAAGGAGGGTCATACCCAAAGCTCTGATTGGTGAGTTGGGGATCCTCTCTGCAGTATCCTCTTGCTCAAGGTTTGTAAATGTGTCATGAGACCCCTTTGGTATGTTTTCTTGGACCCATATACAATTTAATCTAGGTCCCAGATAAATAGTTGGAATAAGTTTATGCAACATTATTCTTGATAAACATTGGTGCCCTCTGGGCAGTACATTGTATAATAGGTTATTTTATACACAATACCTATACCACACACTGCTCTAGTATGTCATATATTACCTTATGCCAGGGTTTCTTAACCTATTGTTAAGAAAGCATATGAGCGGTGGGTCTCGAGTTATGAGTAAACATTTATAATCACACACTATTTATTAACATTTACATTTTAGTCATTTAGCAGACGCTCTTATCCAGAGCGACTTACAGGAGCAATTAGGGTTAAGTGCCTTGCTCAAGGGATTTTTCACCTAGTCGGCTCGGGGATTAGAACCAGCGACCTTTCGGTTACTGGCACAACGCTCTTAACCACTAAGCTACCTGCCGCCGCCTATTCTTAATTTGGGTGGTTTGAGGACAGTACATTTCTCATTTAGGTCTCGAGCTGAAAAAGCTTAAGAACCTCTGCCTTATGCAATTGATCTAGATAAGGTTTAATAGTTCAATTGAGTCAGCTGTATCTACAGCATGTTTATTCTCTGAAAGACTCTAAATTGGATGCAAAGTAGCATATTTCAGATTCCTCAGGTAATGCATTTAGGCAGGAAATGTTACCGTACTGTTACTCCAAGCCTGTCGCTTCGAGCCTACTAACATCATCTATAAATTAGTTGATAAATACAGTTAAGGTTTGAGCAGAGCACGCTTTGGTCAGGGCTAAATCACATCAATACAGAGGGCAAGCAAAAGCAGCTTCCATTTAAAGTGACTTCTCTCTGACCACCAAGGTGAAAGTACATTTTCAACCACATGTAACTGAATTGAACCCAGCTAAAATATTTATTGGTTATCTAGCCACATGTTTACACTGTACACAATACATTCAAACAACCCACTGATTGTTCAGATATAGTCACTGAAAGTGCATGTCAAAATTCTTCATGTGTGGGTGTAGCCCCTCTCATCCTGTGTCAGCTGATCCTGATCATGCTAATGAGGTCCTACTCTAATCAACTCATTACAGCAGCACTGGAAAACATTTTATACAGTTGTGTAATCTGAGTTTGAAAGGGCTTAGTACATTGGGATCCTACCAGTGTCTTGACCAATGAGAAAAGCTGCTACCTCTAGGTAGCTAGTCTTGTTGATGTAGTTGTTGTTGGCACTTGACACCGGAACTTGCAAGGGAGAAAGTGAGTGGTTTCACTTAAAGCTGTTTTCATGCCTTCTAGCAGAGGGAGACATTTATGTTTTTACAAAAGACAAACAGCCTGGAGGAGGGTATGGGGATCTACCAATTGAGAATCACTGGGACTGTTTAGCAACCAGGTAGTGCTGGCTAAAGTTACATGTTTTCACTTGTCGTTGGTAAAAGACTGTGTGGTGTGTGTTCCAGAGCGCGCCCTGTACAGCTTTGAGTGTGCCTTCCACCCTGTGTGCAGCCTGACGTCAGGAACCAGCAGACTGGACTACCTGCGACCAGAAAACAGGTTAGATAATAAACCTCTGCTACACAGGTCAATCCACAAACGCTGTTATGCAAGGGCCTTTCTCATAAAATGATATAGTCAATGGAAATGTAAAAGGTTTATAATATAAGTCTCTCCTTAGTCTGTACATTTATCCTCTCTGCAGGGCATTCTACTTGGCTGTTTATAAGCACATGATGTTCCTGGAGAGGAGGGGATGCCCCCGGACAGCCCTGGAGTACTGCAGACTCATCCTGAGGTACATGGAAGACTGTGTGTGTGTGTGTGTGTGTGTGTGTGTGCGTGCGTGTGTGTGTGTGTGTGTGTGTGTGCGTAGTGTGCACCCCAGGTGTCAGGGGTAGAGAGAAGGTGAGAATCGCATAATGGAAGAAGTACAGCGACGGACTATGTGTTTTATTTATTCACACAAAAAAGACAATTGAAAGACAAACAGTGCAGATAAAGACAAAAAAGGTGTACAGGTGAGGTTGGAAACCCAAGAGGGCTTACATGAACCCCCCCCCCCCCCCCCCAATCTAAACATTGGCAGTAGAATGGCCTTACTGAACAGCTCAGTGACTTTCAACGTGGCATCATCATAGGATGCCACCTTTCCAACAATTGAGTTTGTCAAATTTCTGCCCTGCTAGAGCTGCCCCGGTCAACTGTAATTGCTGTTATTGTGAAGTGGAAACGTCTAGGAGCAACAACGGCTCAGCCGCAAAGTGGTAGGCCACACAAGCTCACAGAACAGGTCCGCCGAGTGCTGAACCACGTAGTGCGTAAAAATCGTATTTCCTCGGTTGCAACACTCACTACCGAGTTCCAAACTGCCTCTGGAAGCAATGTCAGCACAATAACTGTTCGTTGGGAGCTTCATGAAATGGGTTTCCATGGCAGAGCAGCCGCACACAAGCCTGGCATTGCGCACAAGCCATGCGCAATGCCAAGCGTCGGCTGGAGTTGAGTAAAGCTCACGCCATTGGACTATGGAGCAGTGGAAACGTGTTCTCTGGAGTGATGAATCATGCTTCCCCATCTGGCAGTCAGACGGATTTGGCGGATGCCAGGAGAATGCTACCTGCCCCAATGCATAGTGCCAACTGTAAAGTTTGGTGGAGGAGGAATAATGGTCTGGGGTTGTTTTTCATGGTTCGGGCTTGACATTCTAGACAATTCTGTGCTTCCAACTTTGTGGCAACAGTTTGGGGAAGGCCCTTTCCTGTTTCAGCATGACAATGCCCCTGTGCACAAAGCGAGGTCCATACAGAAATGGTTTGTCGAGATCGGTGTGGAAGAACTTGACTGGCCTGCACAAAGCCCTGACCTCAACCCCATCGAACACCCTTGGGATGAATTGGAACGGCGACTGCGAGCCAGGCCTAATCGCCCAACATCAGTGCACGATCTCACTAATGCTCTTGTGGCTAAATGGGAGCAAGTCCCCGCAGCAATGTTCCAACATCTAGTGGAACGTCTTCCCAGAAGAGTGGATGCTGTTATAGCAGCAAAGGGTGGACCAACTCCATATTAATGCCATGATGAGATGTTCGATGAGCAGGTGTCCACATACTTTTGGTCATGTAGTGTATATAAAAAACAGATTGTTCAATCAATTAAATAAAACTATGTGATATTTGTAGTTGCTTAAATGGCACAAAGGCTGCGCTGTGCTAATCTGCGCCCGATCCCAATTGTTATCTAATATTTCCTCTTATAAAGAGTCCTTCTCATATATAATAATAATAAAGGTCTTACAACACTTCATATCAACTAAACAAACATAAACCCCAAGTCAGATGTCCATATATTATCCAGGAATGACTCCTCTAAATGGATCAGGCTGGCTGTATTTCATTACTGGTCATAAAACCTGGCTAGGCGGTATGACAGAACAACACCCATGGGACACTCCACACACTATGGAAGGGCTGTTATTACACATGCATCTACCTCGGCCCTGTGTCTTAGGCCTATAGCCTTTATCTTCTCTAGGATGTGGTGGTCATGGTATACACAGAGTGTACAAAACATTAGGAACACTTGCTCTTTCCATGACAGACTGACCAGGTGAATCCAGGTGAAAGCTATGATCCCTTATTGATCTCACTTATTGAAGAGGGAGTAGACAGGTTAAAGAAGGATTTTTAAGCCTTGAGACAATTGAGACATGGATTGTGCTCCTGATTCCTGCTTATAAGCAAAAACTGAAGCAGGATGCACCAGTGACTCGGTTAATAAAAAAGTGGTCAGATGACGCAGATGCTAAGCTACAGGACTGTTTTGCTAGCACAGACTGGAACATGTTCCGGGATTCTTCAGATAGCATTGAGGAGTACACCACATCAGTCACTGGCTTCATCAATAAGTGCATCGATGATGTCGTCCCCACAGTGACCGTACGTACATACCCCAACCAGAAGCCATGGATTACAGGAAACATCCGCACTGAGCTAAAGGGTAGAGCTGCCGCTTTCAAGGAGCGGGACTCTAACCCGAACGCTTATAAGAAATCCCGCTATGCCCTCCGACGAACGATCAAACAGGCAAAGAGTCAATACAGGACTAAGATTGAATCGTACTACACTGGCTCTGATGCTCGTCGGATGTGGCAGGGCTTGAAAACTATTACAGACTACAAAGGGAAGCACAGCCGCGAGCTTCCCAGTGACACAAGACTTCCAGACGAGCTAAACCACTTCTATGCTCGCTTCGAGGCAAGCAACACTGAAGCATGCATGAGAGCACCAGCTGTTCCGGATGACTATGTGATCACGCTCTCCGTAGCCGACGTGAGTAAGACTTTTAAGCAGGTCAACATTCACAAGGCCGCAGGGCCAGACGGATTACCAGGACGTGTACTCCGAGCAGATGCTGACCAACTGGCAAGTGTCTTCACTGACATTTTCAACATGTCCCTGACTGAGTCTGTAATACCAACATGTTTCAAGCAGACCACCATAGTCCCTGTGCCCAAGGACACTAAGATAACCTGCCTAAATGACTACCGACCCGTAGCACTGACGTCTGTAGCCATGAAGTGCTTTGAAAGGCTGGTCATGGCTGACATCAACACCATTATCCCAGAAACCCTAGACCCACTCCAATTTGCATACCGCCCCAACAGATCCACAGATGATGCAATCTCTATTGCACTCCACACTGCCCTTTCCCACCTGGACAAGAGGAACACCTACGTGAGAATGCTATTCATTGACTACAGCTCAGCATTCAACACCATAGTGCCCTCAAAGCTCATCACTAAGCTAAGGATCCTGGGACTAAACACCTCCCTCTGCAACTGGATCCTGGACTTCCTGACGGGCCGCCCCCAGGTGGTAAGGGTAGGTAACAACACATCTGCCACAGTGATCCTCAACACGGGGGCACCTCAGGGGTGCGTGCTCAGTCCCCTCCTGTACTCCCTGTTCACCCATGACTGCATGGCCAGGCACGACTCCAACACCATCATTAAGTTTGCTGACGACACAACAGTGGTAGGCCTGATCACCGACAACGATGAGACAGCCTATAGGGAGGAGGTCAGAGACCTGGCCATGTGGTGCCAGGATAACAACCTCTCCCTCAACGTGACCAAGACAAAGGAGATGATTGTGGACTACAGGAAAAAAAAGAGGACTGAGCACGCCCCCATTCTCATCGACGGGGATGTAGTGGAACAGGTTGAGAGCTTCAAGTTCCTTGGTGTCCACATTACCAACGAACTATCATGGTCCAAACACACCAAGACAGTCGTGCAGAGGGCACGACAAAGCTTATTCCCCCTCAGGAGACTGAAAAGATTTGGCATGGGTCCTCAGATCCTCAAATTCTACAGCTGCACCATCGAGAGCATCCTGACTGGTTGCATCACCGCCTGGTATGGCAACTGCTTGGCCTCCGACCGCAAGGCACTACAGAGGGTAGTGCGTACGGCCCAGTACATCACTGGGGCCAAGCTTCCTGCCATCCAGGACCTCTATACCAGGCGGTGTCAGAGGAAGGCCCTCAAAATTGTCAAAGACTCCAGCCACCCTAGTCATAGACTGTTCTCTCTGCTACCGCACGGCAAGCGGTACCGGAGTGCCAAGTCTAGGTCCAAAAGACTTCTCAACAGCTTCTACCCCCAAGCCATAAGACTCCTGAACAGCTAATCATGGCTACCCGGACTATTTGCACTGCCCCCCACCCCCACCTCCCACCCCATCTTTTTACGCTGCTGCTACTCTGTTAATTATTTATGCATAGTCACTTTAACTCTACCCACATGTACATATTACTTAAACTACCTCAACTAGCCGGTGCCCCCGCACATTGACTCTGCACCGGTACCCCCCTGTATATATAGCCTCCCTACTGTTATTTTATTTTACTTCTGCTCTTTTTTTCTCAACACTTTTGTTTTATTCTACTTTTTTATTAAAAATAAATGCACTGTTGGTTAAGGGCTGTAAGTAAGCATTTCACTGTAATGTCTGCACCTGTTGTATTCGGCGCATGTGTCCAATAAAATTTGATTTAATTTGTGTATGTGTGCCATTCAGAGGGTGAATGGGCAAGACAAAAGATTTAAGTGCCTTTTAAGTGGGTATGGTAGTAGGTGCCAGGCGCACCGGTTTGTGTCAAGAACTGCAACGCTGTTGGGTTTTTCACGCTCAAAAGTTTCCTGTGTTTATCAAGAATGGTCCACCACCCAAAGGGCATCCAGCCGACTTGACACAACTGTGGGAAGCATTGGAGTCAACATGGGCCAACATCCCTGTGGAACGCTTTCGACACCTTGTAGAGACCATACCCAGACGAATTGAGGTGGTTCTGAGGGCAAAAGGGGGTGCAACTCAACATTAGGAAGATGTTCCTAATCTTTTGTACACTCAGTGTATATCTATGATTTCCGTCAAACACTGGCCTCCTCCCCTCATGGTGGTGTGTGTCTGCTCTATATAAGCATCCATGGTGGAACACGTTGTGACGGCTGTCCCTCTCAGGCCTACTGTGTTATGATCAGGAGGACCTTATCTCTGCTTCAGTAGATGACTGATAGGAATACCAGATGACCAGCCCTGCCGCCCGCAGCAGCTCTGTCATATACCACATATAGGGCCCTGCTTTTTGTTGCGGAAATGGAGGCACTGTGCTTTTACCAGTATTTCCAGTATTATCCACTAGTGTTGATGGAGGTTGAAAATCCTAGGAAATTTTATTTAATTGACACAAGCTGTCTCCAATCAATATCTGACCGGGACTCGAACCCGGGTCCAGCGACTGCCAAGCCAACCCCTTAACCTTAACCGTTACTCCAAGAGGTCCGAACCTCTTGACGAGCTCGCTAGGTGTTGGGTTAAGGTCGCTTCACTTACCCCCTTCCTTCGGGAGAGCGTGTCCCCAAGCTATACCAAGTCCCCACGTGTACACGCCACATGGGCACCATCCCACTTCTGACACCAATGTAGCGAATTTGGAGGGTAGCCCCGACCGGGACTCAAACGTGGATCCACAAACCCGGATCCAGTGACTGTGAAGCCAACACCTTAACCGTTACACAAGAGGTTCCGCTTGGAGTAACGGTTAAGGTGTTGACTTTATAGTCGCTGGATCCGGGTTTGAGTCTGTTGGGGCTACCCTCCGAATTCCATACAATGTACTTCCATGGTTGGTTTCATTGACTTTCCCCTTTTTAACTTCCCCCAATTTACAATTTTTTAGCTACAACTTCTAAGTCTGTTGGAGAGGATCAGCTTGAGCAAAATAAGGTGTAGAATCACTGATCTACAAATGGTATTCCATGCCAAATAATAGGTTTTGCGTGATTCGCAGCGCTGTGTCTCCCCTGGCTCAGGCGATCCCCCCACCAAACACACATGCACAACCAGACATTGATTGATTGGAGACCGTGTCAATTAAATAACATTTCCTAGGATTTTCTACCTGCAGCAACAGTAGTGGATAAAACTGGAAATACCAGTAAAAGCACATTGCCTCCATTTCCGTTATGTATAGTGTCACTGTATTTAAGATCCCCAGGATATATTGAGTCTTTCCGGCAATGTCACAGATTCTGGTCACGGGTTGTCATGGGTCCGACTGTTAATAAAGAAACAATTTATTTATTTTATTTATGTCATGTTTATTTATATAGTAGTTATGTGGTCTTAGTTATGTAGGTGAAACTGAATGAAGTATTCATTGAAGAAGAGGAGCTGTTGTGTGTTTTATTCCGTCATTTCCTTTCTCTCCCAAGTCTGGACCCAGACAATGATCCCCTCTGTATGCTACTGCTCATTGACTTCCTATCCCTTCGCTCACGAGAGTACAACTTCCTCCTCCGGCTATACCAGGATTGGGAGGTGAGACGAGTGTGTGTGTGCGTGCATGTGTGTGCAAGATTTTCTGTGTGTGTGACCTCATACCAGTGTGTCTGATTTCTATGTGTGTGTGTGTATTGTCCGATTCCTGTGTGTGTGTGTTTCCCAGGTGCACAGGAACCTGTCCCAGTTGCCAAACTTTGCCTTTTCTGTGGCTCTGAGCCACTTCCACCTGAGTCAGGAGGATCAGACTGAGTCAGATGAGAGGGAGAGGCTCAAACACAAGGCTGACCTGCTGCTGCAGAACGCTCTCATCATGTTCCCTGGAGGTTAAAGTCATACACACACGCATCAATCATGCACAGCACAACCACAGGCCTGAGAGGGACAGCCTTCAGAATATGTTCCACCATGGATGCTTATATAGAGCAGACACACATACACAAAAGAGACCTATACCTTATATCTGTGTGTTTGTGTGTTCCCCAGTGTTGATGCCTCTGTTGGACCTGTGCACAGTGCAGCCTGACGCTGCTGTATCGTCTCATGCCTTCTTTGGACCCAGAAGCCAGTTGGGGTAAAACATCTGCTTCAACCGAGGCATCATGTCTCCCTGTCTGTCATGTCATTCCTAAATGCACCTCTTCTGTGTCAGTCAGCCTAATGGAATTGAATCATCATTTATTAGCATGAAATTGTAATCTATTGTCGGAGAGCTTAAATTGAATTAGAGTTACATAAATTGAATTGTTCCTTCCTCCCATCTCTTTCCCTCTCTCTAGGCAGTCTCCTGCCCTGGCTGAGCTGGTGTCTCTGTACGTGGGGCGGACTCACACCCTGTGGAGGGAGGGAGGTGTCCTACTGTGGCTGGAGGAGTGTGTGAGGGAAGTGTTACGACGAGTCGACACTAAGGACCCTCTGGTGGAGGACTGCCAAAACAAGTAAAAGCCCCTTGGACCACTGGCATTATTGGCATTATTACCTTTCCAACCCCCCAAACTGTAACTCTTACCCCATTCACCTCTAGCCTGGAATTCACACTGAGTATTTCTGTTCAATAAGTAATATTCATTGATTCAGGGGAGCAATGTTCAGTGTGGATTCCAGGCTAGTTCACCTCCAACATGCAGTGCCTATTTATTTTGTATTTATTTTATTTAACCTTTATTTAACCAGGTAAGCCAGTTGAGAACAAGTTCTCATTTACAACTGCGACCTGGCCAAGATAAAGCAAAGCAGTGCGGTAAAAACAACAACAACAACACAGTGTTACATATGGAATAAACAAAAACGTACAGTCAATAACACAATAGAAAATAGAAAATCTATATACATTGTGTGCAAATGTAGTAAGTTATGGAGGTAAGGCAATAAATAGGCCATAGTGCAAAATAATTACAATTTAGTATTAACACTGGAATGATAGATGTGCAGAAGATTATGTGCAAATAGAGATACTGGGGTGCAAATGAGCAAAATAAATAACAATGTAAATAACAATATGGGGATGAGGTAGTTGGTTGGGCTAATTACATATAGATGGGCTGTGTACAGGTACAGTGATCGGTAAGCTGCTCTGACAACTGATGCTTAAAGTTAATGAGGGAGATAAGTGTCTCCAGCTTCAGAGATTTTTGTAGTTCGTTCCAGTCATTTGCAGCAGAGAACTGGAAGGAATGGCGGCCAAGGAGGTGTTGGCTTTGGGGATGACCAGTGAGATATACCTGCTGGAGCGCATACTACGGAAGGGTGTTGCTATGGTGACCGATGAGCTAAGATAAGGCGGGGATTTGCCTAGAAGTGATTTATAGATGACCTGGGGCCAGTGGGTTTGGCGACGAATATGTAGTGAGGGCCAGCCAACGAGAGCGTACAGGTCACAATGGTGGGTAGTATATGGGGCTTTGGTGACAAAACAGATGGCACTGTGATAGACTACATCCAATTTGCTGAGTTGAGTGTTGGAGCTATTTTGTAAATGACATCGCCGAAGTCAAGGATCGGTAGGATAGTCAGTTTTACGAGGGCATGTTTAGCAGCATGAGTGAAGGAGGCTTTGTTGCGAAACAGGAAGCCGATTCTAGATTTAACTTTGGATTGGAGATGCCTAGTAACAGTCTACCTACCCCTTGCACAGTTTACACATTTTGCTGCCTTAAAATTAAATAAAACAATTGATTACATTAGATGTTTTTTCTACCATTGTACACAACCTACTCCACATTTCCAATGTGAAAGAAAAATTATAGAACATTGGATTGCGTATGTCTTTACACCCCAGAGTTAATACTTGGTGGAAGCACATTTGGCAGCCATTACAGCTGTAAAACTCTTGGAATAAGAATCTACCAACTTTGCACAAATCTTAGGGCAACATATTGTTTTTGTCAAATTTGCTCTAGCTCAGTACATTTGGTTGGAAGGCATTGATGGACAGGAATATTCAAACCTTGTCTCTGATTTTCAAGCAGATTAAAATTAAGACTGAGACTGGACCATTTAAGGAACACGCAACACCTCTTGGAAAGCCATTCTGGTGTGTCTTTGGCATTACAATTTGTGTGATTGTCCTGCTGAAATATAAAACTCTATCCCAGGGTAGGGCTGTGGCGCTCACAAAATGTAATCAGCCGGTGATTGTCAAGCAAATAACAGTCGGTCTCACGGTAATTGACCGTTAATAAAACACATTTAGCATCTCCTGGCTTCCACACATAGCCTACAAGCCACTTTGGAACATCTACATTTAAAAAGTCTATTAGACTGGACCATTCAGGAACACTCAACACCTCTTGGAAAGCCATTCTGGTGTGTCTTTGGCATTACGATTTGTGTGATTGTCCTGCTGAAATACAAAATAAATCCATGTAATATAGGCTATACCTTCACAATAAATCCAGTATTTATTTTAGACAGGTCTAAAGAAACATTATATGAAGAAAATGTAGTCTATTTCAGAAGAACAGAATAGCATACTCTGAGTTGTCCTTATGTTAGGTCCTGATCTGGCTATGCCATATGGTTGTGGGCTACACTAGTTCATTTAGCAGACAATATTTGCTTAGACTTCTGTGGCATTATTTAATATTATTTAATAGTATGAAGAATACAATTGAACAAAGCTGAATAAAATAGAAAGGATATTTTCTCCAAACGATTTGAGGGAGTGCGCACATGCGGCTATTCTGTGTTGAGCGTTTAACAAAGAAACATGTCTCAAATTTCTCGGCGGCATCCCCTTTGTGTGGCCATAATACACCCTAAAGAAATCCATGCCTTTTACAGCCCTTCTCCCTAAATGCTGCCCGCTCCGAAGCAGCTCTCATCTCACTCACACAGCTCTCCATCACGTGATCCACGTGATCGGGTCTTTCTCACAGGCTACAAGTGAAGACAGACATATCGGGGCAACTGTGCGCGTCCTTATCCAATTCCAAGGTGCATATTGAAGATATTGGAACAACTGTCCACATGTACTTTTCGTCAGCCAACAAGATGAGTAGGCCTAACGAACAGCAAAACCACTAGCCTATGTCAATCTACTATCCCCATAGTACAAAAGTTGACCTATTCTGTGCGAGAAATACATATTCCAAACATAGTCTTGGACAGTTGTGTGATGCGATAGATCTCAAATTAGTACAACCACTAGCATAAAAAAAAATATGTTTTTACGCAATGAGGCTGACGCAACAGATCAGAACGTTTAGCTTAAAATGTTGATAAACTATTAGGCTATTTCTTCACATAATATGCGCAGCCTGCTTAACCCTCTCCCACGTCGTCTCTCCTTTCCCCTCTCTCATCCCTGCTTAACCCTCTCCCACGTCGTCTCTCCTTTCCCCTCTCTCATCCCTGCTTAACCCTCTCCCACGTCGTCTCTCCTTTCCCCTCTCTCATCCCTGCTTAACCCTCTCCCACGTCGTCTCTCCTTTCCCCTCTCTCATCCCTGCTTAACCCTCTCCCACGTCGTCTCTCCTTTCCCCTCTCTCATCCCTGCTTAACCCTCTCCCACGTCGTCTCTCCTTTCCCCTCTCTCATCCCTGCTTAACCCTCTCCCACGTCGTCTCTCCTTTCCCCTCTCTCATCCCTGCTTAACCCTCTCCCACGTCGTCTCTCCTTTCCCCTCTCTCATCCCTGCTTAACCCTCTCCCACGTCGTCTCTCCTTTCCCCTCCCTGCTTACCCCTTTCCCCTCCCTGCTTACCCCTCTCCCACGTCGTCTCTCCTTTTCCTTCTCTCACCCCTCATATCCCTTTATTTTCCCCCCTCTCTCTTTCATTCTGCTTAACGTGTCTCTCAATCGATTTCTCCCTTTCTCACTCTCACCTCAGGCTGCCGAAGTTAGGGTCAGTGTTTGTACTGTGTCTGTTAACCCCATGTTAATCATTTACATTTGTACATTTTAGTCATTTAGCAGACGCTCTTATCCAGAGCGACTTACAGCTAGTGAGTGCATACATTTTCATACTGGCCCCCCGTGGGAATCGAACCCACAACCCTGGCGTTGCAAACGCCATGCTCTACCAACTGAGCTACAGAGTCATCTGACTGACCCCTCACAAGTGGAGCAGAGAGAGGGGACATAGAGAGGGCACATAGAGAGGGGACATAGAGTGCTCTCTGTGCTCCAGGGGGCCTAATGTTCATGGCTTGTTGTTTCCTCACTGTCAGAAGTCCTGAGCCGTATACTACGAATGTGGTTTGAGGAGTTGGCGAGGTAACTTTGGTCTGAGTTGAACTCGGTATAACCAGTACCACAAATGTGGCTCACCTTTTAGCCAGGTACATTTCTATGGCAATGAATCCTTCAGATCTAACCTGCTCTGAGGCAGGCTAACTCAGGGCTAACTACATTGATCCTGAATGAAGTGTCTGAGCTGCGAGTTGAGGACCAATTAAATCAGATTCCCTCCCTCTCGCAAAGATTGTGTCATCATCCACTTCATTTGAGGAAGACAACTAATTAAATATTTTATTAATCAAATGTGTTTTTGTGTGTAAAAGAAATTGTAATGTTTAAAATACCTATCACATTACACATAGTAATGACAGATGCATTTGAAACTTCACACACAGTAAATATTTTGTAACAGTTATTTTATCATAGGAGGGAAAAGGTCCTCGTGAACCACACCAAAGTAATAATATAAAGACTGCACTTATACGTCTATTTCACACCATAGCCGGCTGAATTCTGCGCAAATGAAAATGTGTCACTGACTTGCCCATGGATTGATGTTTCAGCATTGTCTCAATGAAGAGTTTGGTGTTCGACTAGCAGATTACCCCTATTCCTTAGATGAAATAGCATGCTTTAATGGAGAATCTCCTTCGAACATGCTTTTTAGTCTAGGAAAAGGCTTAATCTAGGTCTGAGAAACCAACCATACGTCTACGACAAATCTACAAAAGTTATTGTTTCATAAGTGTTGAGGCAACACTTTTAGATGAAATAAAGCAATGTTACATTTTGACGTCAGGAAGAAATCAAAGGAGCCTCATGAAATGTGGCATATTGGCATATGTGTCTCTGACTTTGGTTTCCCCTCCTGTCACCTCCACCCCCCTAGGAGGAAGCAGAGGTACCAGAGTGCCCCCCTGAACATCCATCGCCACGTCATCCTGTCTGAGATCAAAGAGGCCACCTCCACTCTACCGCTGGTGAGAGACTCCGGCAACAGCCACACTACTATACCCTGGTCACCAGTTCTGTTTCTGATTTAGCCCACTCTTTCATTTTACATTTTTTTACATTTTAGTCATTTAGCAGACGCTCTTATCCAGAGCGACTTACAGTTAGTGAATACATATATATATATTTTTATACTGGCCCCCCGTGGGAATCGAACCCACAACCCTGGCGGTGCAAACGCCATGCTCTATCAACTGAGCTACATCCCTGCCGGCCATTCCCTCCCCTACCCTGGACGACGCTGGGCCAATTGTGCGCCGCCCTTGAGTCTCCCGGTCGCGGCCGGCTGCGACAGAGCCTGGATTCGAACCAGGATCTAGTGGCACAGTTAGCACTGCGATGCAGTGCCTTAGACCACTGCGCCACTCAGGAGTCATTGTCATGCTGTTTGTCGTTTGTTAAATGAGAAATGGATTTGACAACCAGGCTTACTCTATGATTATGTCTGTGCCTCATGTAGCCCTATCCCCTTTACATTGCATTACTTCTGACCAGCCATTACCCTGGTCAATAGTAGCACACAGTATATAGGGGAATAGAGTGACTTACCTAATCATAGTATAATTTCCTTAGTGCTTTATCACATGATCATGAATGGTTGTATTCATTCATTCTGTACACTTTACATCATGTATGTGTATAACATGAAACAGGAGAGTAGCATACACGTAAACAACCGCTACAGTACAGAGCATGCCAAATTATGCTGAGAATAGAGTCCTCTAGTTAAGAGGGAATTAACCACTGGCATACGGCTGACTTATTGGTTCCATGAAGAACCCAATCAGGTATAATGATTGGAACTCCTCATCGAGAGGTCCTCATAACACAAACAAGATCAACGTTGATGTTTTGGATGCATGACAATGACATCTGTGACAGAGTGTTAGTGAGGATAGGCCTTCAAAATATGTTTACTGTAATGGTGAATTGTGGGTGTTCTCTCCCAGGAGGTGACCACTCAGCCGGTGATGGGGTTCGATCCTCTCCCCCCGCTGGACTCAGTGACCTCATACACCCGGCCTGAGAGGTAAGGGATACACATGTCCTAACTTGTGTCATTATACATATCTTGTACAAGGTAAGGTAATATGTACCAGTGCAGGTTTTCACATAGTACACAAAATATAAACATACAGTATATCACATATAGCTAGTTATAGAGTGTGGCTCCTTCAGATCGCTAAGTTCTTCTCTATAGGTCTACTTGGATCAGCAATCTTGTTTGTGCCTCTGGACAGAAAACCAAGAGTCAGAAGGACAGTGTCTGCTTGTGTTTTCCTAATCAGCACCAATAAAGCTGGGTTTGTTTCAGTCCACATAAGACTGATTGGCCCACTGTCCACTGACTCCATTGAGGATCTCTAAGGAAGGTATATTAGATTAGAGTACGGTATAAGGGAATGGTGGTGATCCATTTGTAATATTCAGGAGTGTGGACACTCTTTGTCTTTGCCAATGGTGGTACCTACGGCGGCAGGTAGCTTAGTGGTTAAGAGCGTTGTGCCAGTAACCAAAAGGTCGCTGGTTCTAATCCCCGAGCTGACTAGGTGAAAAAAAAATCTGTCGATGTGCACTTGAGCAAGGCGCTTAACCCTAATTGCTAATGTAAGTCGCTCTGGATAAGAGTGTCTGCTAAATGACTAAAAATGTAAATGTAAAAAAAAAGCCATTGCTATAAGTTTGGCACAAAGAATAGCCTTGATTTCACCAGTTTCCATCTCTCCTCTCGGTGGTCTATCCCTGACACGCCCTTCTGTCTCTGCCTCCCTTCTTTCTCTCTCTCCCTCCCACCTATCCCTCTCTTCGATATCTCTTCTCCCCTCTCGCTGTCATCAGTTTCTCTGAAATAGCATGTGGTTACAGGAGTGTTGTTGGCTCCTGAGTGAGGCCTCTTTCCTCCCGTCTTGTGATAGCTGTTAAACAGCAGAGTCAGTGGTGGATGGTAGGGAGGCATCAAACCATCAGAGAGGCAAATACGGTGACAACGAAAAACATGACAAATTGACCCCTAGTCAAGATACTGTACCCTGCTCTGGTGATCTCTGGTGAGAACTACGTAGAATGACAGCACACCCATGTCTGAGAACAGACCTACTATTTCTGCCTGATGGTTGCTTGTTCCTCACATGCTTTACAAACATGGCCACGGATAAGTGTTTTGATTGATAAAGATAAAGAACTGGGGGTGTATAAGTGGTTGAAGTAATGATTTTTATTAATGGGTGGGGGGTTACTGGTTACAATATGGATCTATAACCACAACATAAAAGCAGAGCATTCTTAGGGTTTAGAAAAACTATTGGACCTACTTATCATGATATACAGTGAGGTCCAAAAGTACTTGGACAGTGACACATTTTTGGAATGGTTAATAATACATTATTTACCATTCATTTCTATTGGGCACACATAATCTGAAACACAACCAAAACTAACTCCAATATGCCACAAGCTTGATGTAGTTGTTGCATGCTCTGAATATGGGACCAAATATTAAACGTTTACAGAGCAAAACATGGACCTCACTGTATATGATGGTTAATATAATTTATGGTCATGGGAGAATCCTTATCAGCAGAAGAGTGTGAGAATCGTATTGCATGCTTGTGTTATCTTGTTAGCTTTCTCCCTTGTCTCTGTGTTTGCAGGCAGAGTGTGGGAGCCTCCAATGAGAGCACCCTGTCGCTGTTCTTCCGCTCTCTGTTGCCAAACTTCAACCTGCAGGTAAGTGAGTGAGCTAGACCAAGGGTGAGCTACAGTAGACTAGGGATATGCAACCATGGTCCTCAGGAGCTGCAGTGTCAGGCAGATGGCTTGTGTTCTTTCCTTCAAGTCTGGAAAACTCTGATTACAATCAGTGACATTAATGGATGTGGATTTGACAAAGAAGTACCAGAGGAAGAAGAGGACATCAGCAGACACTGTGGTCCCTGAGGACAAAGCTGCATACCCCAAGTGTGGCAAATCTAAGAAAAAGTCCTCTGGTTCATAGAACAACATGACTGATTGTCCTCTGACCCCAATGGCCCAGCTCCTGTTAATGTCCTCATAAACCCACTAATGTGTGTTATTGTGTGTGTGTGTGTGTTTTAATATAGAGCAGGGACCTTGAATAAGATGACATGTGAAACACAACCTCATAATGATAATATAGCTAGCATCTCCACCGTGCCTTTCCAAATGGGTGACCAATGGGGAACATCAGCTGTTGAGGCATATGACCTCCCCACACACGGAAGATTATAAGGATCACAGGCTGCTTCAATTGGCACGTTGCTGCAGCAGACAATGAAAACATTCATAAAGTGTACCGAGAGTCAGAGAACCTGGTCTGTCTCCTCCTCAAAGCTCCCAGATTCCTGACATACACTAGCCCACTTTGTTGCAAGGCAGCGGTCAGCGGGATGAGACATCATAGTAATAATCTTAAAACATTTCTGTTTACATTTCTGGGAGTGCTGAGCTAATGGAGAGATCCTGGGCTACTGTTGGCTCGAAGGGTTCTGACAGGATGGAAGGGAACATAGATTAGCTGGAGTTTGGATAGATATTCCCTAACCCTCTCGAGGTTCTGAATGGATTAACCATACGACTCATTTCATGCCTATTAGCTCCGTGGCCAAGCCTGAGAAAGTGCTTCGGAGTGGCTTCCTACTCCACTAGATCTACAGCAGCTTAACAACATTAAGTCTACAGTAGCGTAACTTTGCCACAGAAAAACTTGGTCCTTTGTTGGAACTAAAAAATAAGGCCCATGAAGAACATGCTCTTGAAATAGTGTTTGCTAGCGCGTTTTGGAGACATCCGAGCAATGTTGACCCATTGACGATGTTATGTAGTGTCTGACTGACCTCTATCTGATGTCAGATAACACAATCTGATCACTATCTACAACCAACACTTTGTGACGAGGCATCAGAGGCCTAACAAAGTTTGGCTTTATCATTTGATACAGCACAGGTCGTGGAAACAGGATGATGAGGCAAACTTGGCTTTTGGTACAAGAACTCTTGATTGACTCCGTGTTTTGTTTGGTCTAGCTTGATTTGAAACAACAGTTTACTGCTATGGATTGGCTAACATAACCTCTTTGATGCACTGTTTTTAATGGTGTGTTACTTGAGTCCTGTTGAAACAGAACAGAAAACTGTTGCATTTCAAGAGAGAGTCTTGATTCCTCTCTGACTCAGTGTTGTCCATAGCAAACAACGAGGAGTGCATGTACTGTCCGCCCCATTACCGCCTGCTCCTCAGGCAGAGTGGAGAGGAGGTAAAGAGTGGGCAGTGTCACACAGGGTGAAATACACCTGAAGAGGATAAGCACTCAGCAGCCTGGCACCAGCAACCAGAGGATAGCCTATATCTACCCACACACACACCACATTGTCTCTCGTCATGTTGACCTACTTCAGAGCATTCATTTGCATTCATTTGTCATTCATTTATGTTTTGATCCACTTGATCAAAACATAAATGTACAGCATACATGTGCGGGAGTGATTTTTATATTTGATCAAGTGTCCTAGACTGACTGGCACTGGGTTGCCATTTAACCTTGTGCAGTGGGATGCAACGTGATGTGGAGGAAGCAAAGCATGGCCCATTATACTCACTCTCCAATGCCCATGCTAGTTCAGAGTGTAGCTATCCATGCTAGTGATTAGAGGACATGTGGCTAAGTGTAAAGATAATCACTAATGTGGACCACCGACCTGGGTGCTCCAGTGTCCAAAGGTCCTCCGGTGCCACAACTGACCATGCAAGTTCCAGAAACACCCACTGACAAACAGAAACACATATACCCAATGTTTTAACCAAGAGAGACCACCCTTTCTTTATGCAGCTAGTTTTAAACCATCTTGAGACTGATCTGATTAGGAAGAGGAAGAGATGCAATTAGGATAAGAAAGAGACAGTTTAGGAGGAGGAGGAAGAGACGCCGTCTGCTTGCAGTTGTTTTATTGCACTGTTAGAATAGCTACAGTGTTATCCAAGAGGTCTGAAATTACAATTTAGGTGCGGAAAATGAAGTCAGCCCTTGATCACAGAGGACCTGCGTGTTGGAAATTAAATCAATCAACTAAATGGATTTTCTGCGTGATAATCCCAAAACACCTAGACTCAAAACACTGACATACTGTATGTCACCTAGGTTCGTACAAAGCTCCTGTTTGTCTCTTTAAATGAATTTGTTTATGCGTGATACCTTAGTGCAACGTTTGAAACATTTTGAACCTGAGAGAGACAGGAGAGAATAATATTGTGTTCTTAAGAGATGCCATTGTGCTTTTCCTGGTGAATTTAAGCAACACACCCTATTCAGACTCCTTGACTTTTTCCACATTTTGTTACGTTACAGCCTTATTCTAAAATGGATTAAATACATGTTTTTCCTCATCAATCTACACACAATACCCCATAATGACAAAGCGAAAAAAGGTTTTTAGAGATAAAAAACAGAAAATACCTTATTTACATAAGTATTCAGACCCCAGAATCGAAATGGGCTCAGGCGCATCCTGTTTCCATTGATTATGGGGCGGCGCACAATTGGCCCAGCGTCGTCCAGGGTAGGGGAGGGAATGGCCGGCAGGGAGGTCGCTCAGTTGGTAGTGCATGGTGTTTGCAACGCCAGGGTTGTGGGTTCGATTCCCACGGGGGGCCAGTATGAAAAAATAAAATAACGTATGCACTAACTGTAAGTCACTCTGGATAAGAGCGTCTGCTAAATGATGTAAATGTAAAAATTATCCTTGAGATGTTTCTACAACTTCATTGGAGTCCACCTGTGGTAAATTCAATTGATTGGACATGATTAGGAAAGGCACACACCTGTCTATATAACATCCCACAGTTGTCAGAGCAAAAACCAAGCCATGAGGTCAAAGGAATTGTCCGTAGAGCTCCGAGACAGGATTGTGTCAAGATCTGGGGAAGGGTACCGAATAATGTCTGCAGCATTGAAGGTCCCCAAGAACACAGTGGCCTCCATCATTCTTAAATGGAAGAAGTTTAGAACCACCAAGACTCTTCCTAGAGCTGGCCACCCGGCCAAACCGAGCAATCGGGGGAGAAGGGCCTTGGTCAGGGAGGTAACCAAGAACCCGATGTCATCCAGAGTTCCTCTGTGGAGATGGGAGAACCTTCCAGAAGGACAACAATCTCTGCAGCACTCCACCAATCAGGCCAGACGGAAGCCATTCCTCAGTAAAAGGCACATGACAGCCCGCTTGGAGCTGGCCAAAAGGCACCTAAAGACTCTCAGATCATGAGAAACAAGATTCTCTGGTCTGATGAAACCAAGATTGAACTCTTTGGCCTGAATGCCAAGTGTCACGTCTGGAGGAAACCTAGCACCATCCCTACGGTGAAGCATGGTGGTAGCAGCATCATGCTGTGGGGATATTTTTCAGTGGCAGGGACTGGGAGACTAGTCAGGATCGAGGGACAGATGAACGGAGCAAAGTACAGAGAGATCCTTGATGAAAATCTGCTCCAGACCGCTCAGACTGGGGCGAAGGTTCACCTTCCATCAGGACAATGACCCTAAGCACACAGCCAAGACAACGCAGGAGTTGCTTCGGGACAAGTCTCTGAATGTCCTTGAGTGGCCCAGCCAGTACCAGACTTCAACCTGATCGAACATCTCTGGAGAGACCTGAAAATAGCTGTGCAGCAAAACTCCCCATCCAACCTGACAGAGCTTGAGAGGATCTGCAGAGAAGAATGGGAGAAACTCCCCTAATACAGGTGTGCGAAGCTTGTAGCGTCATACCCAAGAAGACTCGAGGCTGTAATCACTGCCAAAGGTGCTCCAATAATGTACTGAGTAAAGGGTCTGAATACTTATGTAAATGTGATATTTCCGGGTTTTAAAAAATATATATTTGCAACAAAAAAAAATACAACTGTTTTTGCTTTGTCATTATGGGGTATTGTGTGTAGATTGATGAGGGGGGGAAAAAACGATTTAATCCATTTTAGAATAAGGATGTAACGTCACAAAATGTGGAAAAAGTCTAGGGGTCTGAATACTTTCCGAATGCACACACACACTTCCGTATTGTCATGTTCAGTGATGATTAGAATTACTGCTCACTCTCTAGTCACTGTCTCTGCAGGGTGAGCCGATGCCGCAGGATGACCTGGAAGTAGCTCAAGCGGGTCGGGAGCTGAACCAGGAAGTAAATCGTCTGATGGTGGCCATGAGGGACATGCTGGCCAACATCCAGTTTCAGGAGCCACCTAGAGATGACAACCCTGACAGAGACGAGGGGGAGTGGGACTGAGAAATGAGGAGGAGGACAGAGAGAGAGGTGGAGTGAGACTTGAGGGAGGGGTACCTAGAGATGGGAATGGATAGAAGAAAATTAATTAATTATTAATTAACTTATTTAGCAGACGCTCTTATCCAGAGCGACTTACAGGAGCAATTAGGGTTAAGTGCCTTGCTCAAGGGCACATCGACAGATTTTTCACCTAGTCGGCTCGGGGATTAGAACCAGCGACCTTTCGGTTACTGGCACAACGCTCTTACCCACTAAGCTACCTGCCGCCCCGGTTGATTTAAGATGAATGGAGATGGAATACAGCAGAGAGGTAGGAGGATGGAGAGTGAATGAGTGAGGGAATAGATACAGTGAGGGTAGCAATAACAGATGAGAAGGATATACTGTAACCTTAAAGAAAGAAATGGCAGGTCATCTATATGACCCAAACATAAAACAAACTCCCCCTTTCTGATATAGGCACAGTAGTATCACCTCTTCCTCCTGTCATAGTCAGTCAGTCCATCAGCCCTCTGTCCTTCCTCCTTTTGTCCCATTCTCTTTCCTCAGGACAGTTGTTCTTACTGATCTAGAAGATCAGGAGGCTGCGTTCATCAGTTGTTCATCCTTTTTTTAAAGGAACATTGCTTATCAAAAAAATGAATATTGTGTTTCATCAGAAGGATAATGATGCCCTACTGCTACAGTATATCTGAAGTGGAATCATTTATGATTGAATAAATCCCTATGGTGTTGTTTTAGCAACCGAACGTCTACTGCCATATGGGTTGATGAGAGTCAGGTTAAAGGTTAATAAATGTCTGATAAAAGTCAGAATTATACAGTAATTCATCTTATGAGTGGAACAAATTGACTTTCTTAACGTCTTGTTCCATTTTTAATATTGGTCATAACTTAAATTTTTTCTTCGACTCCAAATTAACCCTGTTCATCATTTTAAATTCAATTTGATTTTGAGGATAACATTTAAACTGATCAGGATATTTTTCTGTTGTGATTCTCTATAAAGAGGTCATTTGACCTGACCGGAAATCAATTATGGGCTATTTATTGACTAGGGCCCAAAGTTGTTCCCAATGAGGTCACGTTGGCAGGAAAAACTCCTGGCCCTAGTCATCTGTTAATATCAGGAAGTGATTGCATGATATCCAACCCACTACTGTAAATACTCTGCTTAGAAATCATTTATTACACAAGCTAATGTAAAGACAATAAACCTGCTGTGCATATGGTTCAATATTGACTTAAGTAAAAACATATTAAATAAATTCAATTTCATAATTCATCTCGCTCTTTCCAGGGGAATATGGGTGTAAAAGTATGTTTTTTTTGCAGTTCATTCTGTGTCTTAGCCTCGCAAGCCGCCTGATCATAAATGTTCGCTGCACAGATAGTGGTAATCAGTCTGGAAATTACAAGGCTATCTGTGTTGAAATGGGGTGTGTTGAATTCAATATGCCACGTATCCTCTTTAGCTGGCTACGCACCCCATTTGCGGGGAATATTCTCTATTATTTTCTACCAAACGTTCTGTCTCCATAGTACTTTTGATGTTTTATTTACTCCAACCCTAATCTTTTGATTGTATGTCGCTGATTCTTCCAAGTAATTTGATAAGTGAGATGTTGCCCGGGAGTTTAAAGAGTCCAAGTTATTGTCCTTGAAAGACCATCTGGCAAAAAGGAAGAGACCATCCCATGATACTCATTTGCATAATTGTCTAGTTTTCATTCCCTTGAAATAGTCCAGAAATGCCGTTTCCTATCAGAGGATGTATAAAGGAGAGCAGAGTCAAAGGATACACTGCAGCTCACACACACACACACACACACACACACACTCAAAAACCATACTTGCTTGAAAGACACCCACATCAACAACACACATGCATCCACTCTGTACTGTTTTTGAATAGAACCACATGGTGTAATGCTGTGGGTGGAGTTGGTAGACTGCTGTTCAAACGAGGGCCTTGTTCCAGAGTTTACCTGGAGCTACTCCAGTGCCTGGGTCACGAGGGGTGTTCATGTGAGGTCTACCCCCTTCCCTGCTAAGACATGTCCCCACGAGCAACGTTGTCCATAATGTTCACTGTGATATGAAGTATATTCCCAGCTCTGTGTGAGCCTCGGGCTCAGAGGAGGATGGGACTACTAGAGACATATATCTATAACTTGTAAGATACAGTTGAAGTTGGAAGTTTACATACACCTTAGCCAAATACATTTAAACTCAGTTTTTCACAATTCCTGACATTTAATCCTAGTAAGAATTCCCTGTTTTAGGTCAGTTAGGATCACCACTTTATTTTAAGAATGTGAAATATCAGAATAATAGTAGAGAGAATGATTTATTTCAGCTTTTATTTCTTTCATCACTTTCCCAGTGGGTCAGAAGTTTACATACACTAAATTAGTAATTGGTAGCATTGCCTTTAAATTGTTTAACTTGGGTCAAACGTTTAGGGTAGCCTTCCACAAGCTTCCCACAATAAGTTGGATGAATTTTGGCCCATTCCTCCTGACAGAGCTGGTGTAACTGAGTCAGGTTTGTAGGCCTCCTTGCTCGCACACACTTTTTCAGTTCTGCCCACAAATGTTCAATAGGATGAGGTCAGGGCTTTGTGATGGCCACTCCAATACCAATACCTACCAAGGTAGGCCTTGAAATACATCCACAGGTACACCTCCAATTGATTCAAATTATGTCAATTAGCCTATCAGAAGCTTCTAAAGCCATGACATCATTTTCTGGAATTTTCCAAGCTGTTTAAAGGCACAGTCAATTTAGTGTATGTAAACTTCTGACCCACTGGAATTGTTGGAAAAATTACTTGTGTCATGCACAAAGTAGATGTCCTAAACGACTTGCCAAAACTATAGTTTGTTAACAAGAAATTTGTTGAGTGGTTGAAAAACCAGTTTTAATGACTCCAACCTAAGTGTATGTAAACTTCCGACTTCAACTGTAAATCTCCCTTTGGGGCAAGACAAAGGTTCTTCAGAAGATTTTACAGTGGTGAGTTCCCAGACTTCTTCCAACTCCACCCCTGATTGTAAGTGTTTATAATTATAAAATTAAAGCTGGTACAGTTTTGCCTGCTGGGATGTACTATTACAAGGTTACTTCAAGGCCACTGTAAAATAACTATATTGGGTTCGGAGACATTGTTCTAAGAAACACCCTATGAAACAGCAGGAGCATTGATCAGAACTTGTAATAGACCTTTAACAGTGTACTGAGGTTGAACTGGGGTTAACATACATTCTGTACAGTATAGCCAAGCCAAGGGTCAACTAAGGATTCTTAACCTTTATGTTCCGTAGGGCCCCAAGAAAACAACTAATTGGTTTTACTGCATCTTGTGATGGTGGAGGGAAAGCAGCATGACTAATTATATATTGCATCAGCTTCAACATGACACCAGGCAGAAATGTGTTTGTGCCTTCTCATGACAGTCTTGTACTGTGTTTGATGTGTTTGATGAGTCTCTGGTCACTGTATAAATGCTTTGTTGCTGTAATGTTACTTACAGGGACAGTGTGTACTGGCCCTGACCTTAGTGATGTCTAAAGTGGTAGTGTAATGTGCTGTGTGCTGCCTACAGAGGCATTTGCACTGTGTGGACTTTGTGACATAAGATGGTCATAATTGCAGTGTCACTTATCTTCATTATAAACACAAGATATTTAAACGTTTTCACAGCAGTCAATTTAGACCAAATGGATGTATCCTCTTACCCAACCACTCATATACATGTGCATTTGTGTGTACATGCATGTGGGCATGCATGTGTGTTTGTGTACATGCATGTGTGTTCCGCTTAGCACACAAGAACACACCTATCAGCAGCCCATTTCCTCCATATTATTCCCTCTCCTGTTTCCTGAGCCTGGCTGTATGGTGGAGGTAACGCAGCAGTAACAGACGCTGAGCCTGGCTGTATGGTGGAGGTAACGCAGCAGTAACAGACGCTGAGCCTGGCTGTATGGTGGAGGTAACGCAGCAGTAACAGACGCTGAGCCTGGCTGTATGGTGGAGGTAACGCAGCAGTAACAGACGCTGAGCCTGGCTGTATGGTGGAGGTAACGCAGCAGTAACAGACGCTGAGCCTGGCTGTATGGTGGAGGTAACGCAGCAGTAACAGACGCTGAGCCTGGCTGTATGGTGGAGGTAACGCAGCAGTAACAGACGCTGAGTGCACAAACCTCAATTGACTTCCTTACTCTGACCAACCAGGATGTCATAGACCTGCAGATACACATCTATAGTGTCTTTTCCATGTGTTATCTGCTTTATGTTGTTTGCTTGACAGGTTCTCCAGATGCTCCTCTCACAATGGAAGTGACAGTATAGTAGGTAACATAACACATGTATATATGTGTGTCTGTAGGAAATAGAAACTGACCTGGCAGGCTTTATGTAAAGTATTTATAGTTTAAGTCAAGGTCAAATACTCTATACATTGAAGTGTACTGTATATTGCTTGTGGAAAGAGCTGTACATTTTATTGACATTAAAGTATCAATCGTCAATCATTTATTTACAGAATATAGCCCTTTTTATGGCAACATTTGTCACAAGGTGCTTTACAGTAACCCTAGAACCCAAAGACATAGTGGCAAGGAAAAACTCCCTAGAAGGAAGGAACGTGAACTCCGAGTGTGGGCTCATCCTCTTACGTTGTACAGGGTAGGAAGAAGTTTAGAGTACTTATGACCATCTAGGCCAGGCAGTTGTTCATTCAGGCACTTTTGTACTTTTGAAGGACCCCTGTTCTCTTGTGGCATAGCCACCACATCACTTATCATCTGTCCTATTGGGTCTGTCCAGTTGTTATCACAAGCCCTCCCCACCCCTACCCCGTCCAACCCCTTTTGTCTCTCTTTGACAGACAGTGACAGTCCAGACACACATATGGCAGTTGGATGCCCCTTTTGCAGAGTGTGTTTGATAGGCCCAGATGTTGAGTCAGTGTGGTCAGGTCTGAAGGTGTAGTCCCAGATAGGAGTGGTGCTCCTCAGCTAGAGGCTGATACAGATCTGTGTCTGGCCCTGAGTGAATGGAGGATTCTCCTTATCTCCCACTATCACACTCTAACTATGGACAGTCTGGCTGCTTACA